GGTCACTTATGTCCTTCAACCCTGTTTCCACCGAAGACTGGAGATAAAAGCAGGCTCTCTTCTTATGACTAACCTTGTTCTATTCTGTAAGCTTTCTAGCCGGTTTCTCATAGACAGCAACCGCAGTATTTTCATTGTCCAGCTATCATTGGAAGCAATTTGTTGCTTTTGTTTAATCATGTTCATTTAGAAGCCGAAATATGGATTTTTGGACCAATGCATGGTCACTGTCGAAGCATGTACCCTAGAAGTAGTGGTAGTTTTCACCGCCCCTCTCTTGTGGTAATTGATACCAGCGTGGTCTGTCTGGATCCATCGTCGAGGCCAGTAAGCGTCACGTCAAACAATATTTGTCTTTATGCCTAAAGTTCATGTTGGTCAGAAAAGATGTTTGTTTAAGCACCTATTTAGCAGGTACTGGCCGTTATCTTTTCTTTTGGTTGGGGTTCCGAAAGTCCCTTAATTCCCTTTCCATCCAACTAAGCCCACATAGTTGTGCATTTAAATTAGCAGCAAAAACAATGCCGTTCGAACGTTTGGCTTTCGGCAGGAGGCTAGACAGTTCTCAGTTTTCAACAACAGTCGGTGGATGCGCAAGCAGAAATTATAAACTGACGACAGCAAGTTTCAGTGTTCTTTTTAGTTCTCATAGCACCGTTCAGCATAAAAGTGCATGGACGACTGTATGTTTTATTCCTGAGTTAACCCTATTGCCAATTGGCTCTAACTTTGTCTGGTTGTGATTGTCTGACTTACGTGATACTGCCGATTCAGTCCTACCTCTGTCCTTGAACGTGATTGGTCTCAAACATACTTGCCCATTTTAATAGACACAATACACTCGCACGATGAGGCATGCAATTTGACTGTCTCAACCACTTAGAACAGAACGCAAAGTTTGGTTCTTAAATGTCCGTATCTTTCAAGCGATCTGGTTCTTCCTTATGTACAAATTAATAAGCTGACCACAACGCACCATAATTTAAAGGCATGGAACAACTGATTTCGAGCACAGAAAATAGGATAATGCGCAGTTATGAATATCACTCAATATCCAGTTATTTCCGAAACATAAGGCATACAGAATAGGAAAAGGGTTCAATCGAAAGCTCTTGGACCGAACTAGTTATACAATAATGTTACCAATTAGGTAATAAGTAAAATGACTTTTAAAACACATAAAATAATACAACAACCTACTGACATTTATCTGAGATTCAGGTTTTCCGGCTGATGTAACACTGCTAACGTGGACTCAGTCAAGCAGTGCACTTGATGCATTAGACCATGAGAACTAGGCATACTCAGAAACTCGAAGAATGTATTTTGGAGACTCCCTATATTGGGACGGTGAGCTAAAGCAAATAACCCCACTTAGGTTCTTTACGCATGTCTCACAAACACAACATATTATAGTTACCAGAATGCGAAAACAAGGGAACGAATGTTTGCTGTTGACGGGTGGTACGGTAGTCGTTAAATATGGTACACCTTGCTCTAAAACCATCATTTGCAAAGTGTACTTCATTTCCTCTTCTGCTTCTCTCTTGATTTGCTCTTCATACATTTCTTTGTGGCTTCCTTTTCTTGGCAGAATCCCTATCCATTGCTGTTAATCCCGATGATTTCTACAGTCCTCTCAACATATACTACTTATATCCATTCTTATCAGCAACGCCCATTTCAATATATCTATGGCGTGGGCTACCAGCTTTGATAAGCAAAGATTGTTGTCCGATTTGACGTAGGATGTGTGCGTGGAAGTCTTAAACATATAGTTTGAATTGTGGTTTTGGGAGATAACATATCCTGTTAAGTGAACTCCAGTCGTTATCAATAGCTACAGAGCTGGAACAAATTAAAGATAAGAGATAGACGTAAAGAAAGATTAGAGGGCAAAGATGCTGAAGGTTATTAATAATTCGAGGTAACTGGGTTGTTTGGAGAGTTGTCAGAGTAGTTGACACTCTTTTTCTGCCCACACTATCGAAGGTAACTTCTTGAATTATCCGAGAAAGAAATTGGATTACCAATAATGTTGCATGATAGCAGAGGTCAAAGAACGGCTACTTCAGGCCATTCGCAGATGGACAGTTTTAAAGTATGATAGTTCAGTTTGACTGATTCACATTCAACTAGAAAACCCACACCACCAGCAACCAGAAGTCGGCACAGCTGAAGGAATGTGGGGTTTTCGCGGTCGACTCTTCCTAAAACTGCATTTCTACAGAAATGGCAGCATCCACATGGGAGTTCTGGTGATCCTCAGGAAAAATGTTCCTGCTATCCCATCATGGTTCATTCAACAGTAAAACTTTGCCCTGGGCTTCTCACAATAGTAGTGGCTACTTATGGTCCTAACACTATTCAACAGATTTCCTTCGTATAGTAGGACCTCAAGAGAACAAGGGCTTCAAAAGCATAGCTTCTTGGGTCATTATGATATGTAAGTCCGACTGCCACTTCAAGATATCAACTATAAGTCGGGATCTCAGGGAAATTTAGAAGTAAGGCTGAAGAAACTAAAAGACGGTATCTATCTAGAAGACTTATTGACTATAGGCTTCAATGCTGCCATCTTCAATATATTTGAATCCATTGGTTCCAGATCCTATGTGAAATGGCTCAGTTGTGCTGATGTTTTAGTCCTTCTACCTTCGATAGAACTGAACATTTCTGATTGATTATATCAATGAAAAGCTTTAACATTTTAGGATGAATGAATTTTTTTTCTAAATAAATTTAAAATGAAGTTTTAAAGACAATGATTAAATTTCTAAGTTTTCGAAATATTTTATCATAGTGCATTGAAAATTCTTTGCAATAGGTAAAATGATTGAGAAGTATGACTGTCTGTCATGTAAGAACCAGTTTCTTCATGTGTATTTATTTAGTCAAGTAGAAGTAAAACTGAGAGTTAGTTACGGAATGTTTGGTAGCCTTTTTCGACAGCTGTCAACAAACTGTAAAAACAAGCCTCGGACACTATGCGAAATAACAAAGATTCGATTAGTAGTGTCTAGTATTACATTTCTTGTAAGCCTGTGTAACATGAACATAAACGTTTTAGTTGTAAAACTGACTCATAATTTTAAAAACCAGAATTTAGTTTTTGCTTACCAATAAACGTAAGTACATTACAGTAGCTATTATAAAAAGGTGATTTATTCCCACTTTTCTATGCATTCTCGTATCACCTTGTGTCTTTTTTTTAACAGAGGATACTTGAAAAACTAACCGATTTCACAGGTTGGGACAACTTTCATGTATATGACAACAGTAGCTTGTGAGCAAATCAATACATATAAAGTAATATGCCTAACTGGATGAATTAGTAGAAAGGTGGTTAGTTTAAAGCTTGAGACCCTGAGAATGTATGCCAATTATATGAACTTACTATCCATCAGTGTATTACGATCATCCAGTTAAGGTTTAAACGATCATACGGTTCCATATATTAAGACATCACGGTACGCAACCCACGATTAGAATCAGGGGCTGTCTGACATTGGTTCTTTTATCGTATACTATGATTGAAAAGACCCTACACAAAGGAATAACATATTGCTTAATGTTATCGTGAGCTAACAGAAGTTGGAAATATGGACCATTGTATTCTGACCCAGTGGCTCAATGGTAACGCGCTGGCCACGGGTTCAATCCCTGACGGGGTCGCGGTTGCGCACTGCTGAGGAGTCCCATACTAGGACGGAACAGCTGTCCAGTGCTCCCAGGTTTCCTTTGTTTCTCCAACTGATGTCAGTCTACGATGAATAAAAACTTGAAATATCTCTAAGTCTCCACAACTCCCTCAAAAAATTTAATGTTATCTGTATCATAAGTTATTCTCCTCATTCTTATCTTATCAGATATTCTTTAATTTCACATCATTTTCATTTCATTTTGCATGATTCGTGTCTTCACATTCAAATGTATTACGTCCTAAGTTTAAAATAAGTAAATGATGAGTATAAATGCTGCCAGCTGTTGGAAATCCCTAGGCTGTTATGGAACAAACTACCATGGTCTTGCTTTTTCTCAGCTCTACTTAAATCAGCGCTAGAGACTATCATTCAGTCAATTAATCAGTTGCTGAAAAAATAAGACCTGATAACATTTAGTTACGCTCCCAGTTAGCACACCTCACATACAAACACGCTATTCTCACTTACCCTGACAAAGATGTACTTCATTAAATGAATTATACTGGGATGTAATATACTATCAGGAACGCATTTCTTAGAAGAGAGCCAAAATGAACACTAACCAAAAAATGCATCGAACCAACTTAACAGATTCCACAACAAACAGAAAGAAGAGATAAAGCGTTTTGAAAATGATGCTAAAATGGACTAGGTGGATATCGGTGAAGCGGAGTAATTATACTCCCACCAGACTGATTGATTTCTGGTCATGTTAACGAGAGTCTTCAACCATCCATTTCATACTTCCCAGGGTGTACGTCCAGATAGTTTACACTTTCAACAAAAGCCACTGGTTTCACAGACTGTTGAGACATCTTCTTCAGGTTCTTCTGCTTGAAGCGTTTCAAGATAACAATATACGCTGGATTAGTCAATGACTTGATGTACATAAAACATGTCTGAATCGCCTAGGTTGGTGCAGCATGCCAAACGTCACTGATTAAATCACTTAACTTTCTCACTGTCTTCAACATTTTGTAGCAGTTTTGACAGGATGTATGTGCTTGATAACTTGTAACGGTTTTTACTGTAGCTTTATCAGGTTTATTACACCATTGAACATTGAAAAGTCGATCATTGTTGAGTAGTACATCACTACACTAAGAAAGAATAACATAGTTTCCCGGATATCAGCTATAAAGTAGGGTAGTGTTTCTCAGATCTTCTTTCTGTATCTACACTACACACCACATTGTTTACATGCAATTCTACTCTTAAGTTATACAATGATAATAATATTTGAAACTCAAAATTTTGAAAGATACAACTATTAAATATCTCTTCTTCTTCGTACAGAAATTTAAATGACATAACAAGTCAGTCATTTAATCAACGTAAAGAAGAATATATCCCAAAAGAAGATGGTCGTGAATCTGGCATAGATCCGGATACAATAGATGAAGTGTCAACACCGATTATAGGGAATTCACTCAGTTTGAATGAAATAAAATACAATAACAATAATAATGGTAATACCAATCATATCAACATTGTAAACAAACCAAGTGTAATTACTGTATTGAGAAGGCTTGCAAGATGCTTAGCAATACGTATAGCTAATAAACGGCATAGTTTAGCTTCAGCTAATCAACATGTTGCACGAAATTCAATTGAAGAGAAACTTGTAAGTTGTTGTTTGTTGACTTTTCTTACAATTCATTTGTCGGTAGATGTTTGATAACCTTGGTTACATAATACAGTGAAAAGTTGACGAATACTATAAACATGTATGATTATACTTCGAAATTTATTCATCTACACATTTTAGTTTGTAGTAAAGAAGATTTATACACCAGAATGAGGATAGTCTCTAAGCTTTGATGTGTTTTTAAACGTCTCATCATCAGGTTCGGCTGCCTCATCGGTACTTATTTCATGAAAGAGTAAAGCTTCATGTTTGATGTAAAATATTTACCTAACATTTTCAGAGTCACTCTGGTAACATGCTATCCACTCAACATAACGCTAGGTAACCAGGTTACAGAGGTCAACGCGTAACAGGTGAGTTATCTCCATTTGCAATTCAATAACCCTGTAGGTCCGAAAGGTTCTTGGATGAACTTTATGAAATAATTACTAATGAAATCATCTAACTCATTGATGAAATATGCATAGACAAACACGCAAGCTAAGAAAACACTGAATATCCATTACAACATGCTTTAAGAATATCTCTAGAACTATCGTAAAGAGAAGGAAGTTGGCGATAAGATGTTCTGTTTATGCACTTAGGCTTCACCTTTCTTTCCTTCTGTACATGTTTCATCAATGGATTCGCGATGAGTGTTGGGCAAAGAAACACACTATGTTAAATTTTTACAGTAAGCGCCTTCATTGCAAACTACTGCTATTCTATGTCATATTTGTAGACAGTGCGTCTGAATGTGGTCAGATTCACAAACGAAATCCAAAAGAAGATGATATCACAATATATAAACTGATGTCGTGATATGACACCTAAACTTATCTGTAATGAGTGTAAATATTTCACTGTATGACTTATCACCTAAGGGACTAACTTTTTATTAAAACAACTACGTTTGCTTATTGTTAAAATCTACTTTAAGTTGGTTAACGCGATATGGGTGACATGGTGTACATGATAACAGTCGCGCTGATCTTCAGTATTATCTCTATTGACATAACTGAGAAGGATCCAAAGAGGATTATTCACTCTATTTCTGATATACAATCATCCCTACTTATCCAATCGTAATTATAATGTGAACTCATGTATGCATGTGTTAGATTAAATATTGTTATTGTAAGCCTAACGAATCTAGTGAAAGGTATAATTAATTGAGATTGCTACAGACTGCAAGAAAATGTAATATATTCTGTGAAGTAATAAAGGAGTAAATCTTGAGACCAGTGGTAGAATATTGTTCCATTTCACACACTAGAATAGTTTTATTCTGCTGGATTACGTTTCAGACACAACTTATTGTCTATAGTCACATCAAGATAACTCCACAACTTTGAGGCATGTTTAAATATGTATTTCTAATTTTCTCACCCCCTTTATGATATACGTAGTAGAATTTTCTAGATATCCTGAAGAGATGCTGAGACATTCTTGTTGCATATGTTCCATGTTGATTCGATAAACCAAGATACGGCTATCAATCTCTCCCTCGCTCTGTCCCATTCTATTGTATGGTTGTGTGTAATTGTATGCAAAACTACGGTAAAAATTTTCGCTGGATTTCTTATGTTAATGGAATCTGATTTTGTACTCGGATGGTCTAATTTACCCTAGCTGAACCGAAATTGATAGATAGCAGCCAGATAAGGAATTGAGAAAAAACCTGCGATATCTATGCATGCAACTACACACAACCACGCAATAGGATGGGACACTGTGACAATCACTAAAACTAACCTAGCGGGGTGGAGGGAGAGATCGGTAACCGAATTTATGTTTACTGAATCAACACCAAACACATGCAACCAGAATGACTCAGCACCAGCACCAGATATATGGTAAATCCTACTACTCATATCATAAAGAAGGCAAGAGAATCAGACCCATGCAAACTGTGTCTCAAAGTTATGGAGTAATCTTGATATGACTATGCACAATAAATTGTACCCAAAACGTAATCCAGTAAATAATTACTAGTTTAGATAGTCAATATTTGATGATTGAAAATACATTTGAAGTATTCAACTAAGAGATATTTTATGGAATAAATACATTGTGAAGTGAAACCGTACACAGAAAGATTGGGAAGGATATTCGTATCTCTGTGATTTAAGACTTATTGGCGGTGTAATGTTCTTGATTACCTTCAACGTGAAATCCAGGATACTTAGGTTTTTGTGATAATGGTGAACACCTTCTAAATTCAACTACTTCATAAGTTCCAGATTGATAGACAGTTCTGCTTACTTCAAGGTTAGTATTTATCACGGATTGACATCAGCTGGAGAACTATCAGAAACCTGAGAGCATTGGTCAGCTGTTTTCTTCTAGTGTGGGACTCCTTGGCAGTACACATCCATGACCTCACTGTGAGTAGAACTTAAGACCCTCAGGCCTCATGATGAAAGTCATAGCCATTCAGCCGCTGGATCAGAGTTCAATGTTCCATAGTTCATTAATAAAGTCAATTCTTTCTTGCATACTGCTGAATAGTCCAATACTCAGACGAAACAACTGCCCATCGCTTCCAGATTTTCAATCATTCTCCAAATGATGATGTCAGTCCATGATGAATACTACCTTGAAAGATATAAAATCCCCATAAATTTCAAACTACAATTCTGTTTATCTCATTTCCATAGATTTGAGTAGTATTAAGAAACAGAAGAGAAAAAAGCAATTTCCAGAGTACAATTTATGATTTATTACAATAATAATAATTATAAAATGATTAACCCTACCATAAGTTCATATTCAGTTGGATTTATCTATGAAATGAAAGGCGATAAATTCCGGATTTGACTCTGACAGGGGGAATGATGAAGCTCATTGACGTAGCAGAGGCATACAACAAAATGTAGTTAATCAGGATTAAAACATCGAAATACTCACATTAGGTAGTTAATAATTAACAAAAGACATTTCAGCGAAGAAAAGTTTCTGTTTGATGAATAATTTTCAAAATCTGTATAATCGTAATTATAGTTACAGCAAAAGGTATGTCCATCAATTCCTCATGGATCAGTACAATGTAATCAAAAAATAGTCAATAAAGTCGCAAGATGATTATGATTAGGTCATCAAAAATTGTTTATAGGTTTACAATAAATAAACAAATGTCTTGAGGAAAATATCACTAAGATGGAATTAGAGATTGGATGTACCTATTTTGAGGCCAGGCTTAGACCGATAAATCTCCAAAGCTTTTCAGGTGGCGAATCTGTTCCCCCTTTGAAATGTTTAATTTGATCTCATAAATGACTTTCAAGGTAGGTTCTTTAAGTTTCAGGACAGAATATAGAGACAAACAGAAGCAGTAGCATTGGGATCGCCAATATCCCTAATCGTAGCAGATGTGTTTATGGAAAGTTGGAAAAACATGGCTTTGCAAAGGTTTAATCCTGCACCTAAAATATGGTGGGGATATGCGATGACAAACTTATTGTGTTTAAATCGGAACATATTGACAATTTCCTCATATCTATCAGCTCAGTAGTATGCGCAATCCAATTCACTTACGAGATAGAAAATGAACAAGGAAAATTACCTATGCTACATTGAAGAATAAAACGAAGGATAGACGGTGGTACGGACACTACCGTCTGCAGAAAACAGATACAATTCAACAGGTATCTAGACTTCAATTCATCTCACCAAAAGTCAGCTAACGCAGGTTTAGTCAAATGTCTAAGTGATAGAACTAGCAAACTGATTAGTCAGTGCAAGGACCTAAACAAGGAACTGATGCACATAAAAGAGGCATTAATAATTATCCTCTACAGTTTAGCAAGAAATTGGTACGAACACATAAGAAACAAAATCATATCGGTAACACGAGTACGAATACTACCGACAACACGAGTGGAAAGGCGTTTACAGTTTCCATTGTGTTACTCTATAGGGAAGGTACATCAAGAACTTTACATAGGATTCTCATCAGAGCTGCAGTTAATATGGCATTTAAACCTACAAGTTCACTCAGAGATAGCTTTGTCAGCTGGCTTAAGGATCTGATAGAACCAACTAAGCAAAATAATCAAACCTATCAAATTCCATGTAATGACTGGGAGGTCAAGTACATAGATGAAACTAACCAGTCGGGGTCAGTGAGAATAGCCGAACATAGTTTAGCTAAGTACAGAATAACAGACCCTAGTGAGATCAGTAACCTAGAAAGTAACTCCGCTATTGCCATGTATGCATCAATACACAACCACACAATAAGGTAGGATAAAATCACTGTACTTCAGTTCAATGGAATTAGATGGAGATTGAGAGAGATTGATTGATGAATCTTTGTTCATCGAATTCGCTGACACCCAACAAATGTAATAGGAATGACGCAACACCTATACTAAAGATATGGAAAATTTTACTACCACTGGAAACGAAGAATAAGAGGTGACAAGACTATTAAAGGCAGATGTTGAAAGTAGTGTGATTACATTGATATGATTATGAGCAATGAGGACTTATGCTTGAAATGTCGCCACACAAATAATACTGTATCACACTGTGTGCTGTGTATATGAAATAAACAAATCTAAGATGCAATTAAATTCTACCACAGTTCCCAATTTTTACACTTATATTAAGGAAGATTATTGTGGAGCACAGTAGCCAGAGCTAGATAGATACTCAACTGTTGAGCTATTAATCGCTTTACAGTCTCCTTCAGACAATTTTTGACAACCTTGTATTGACCCAGTAGTCACTGATCGACATATATTTTGTGGAACTATAATAAAGATTGTAAAGTTTTTGAAAATGATTCATCGAAAAGAAAATTTTCTTTCACTGGAATGCTATTTTTTAATCGTCTTGTTAGCTGTTTACTATGAGGTAGTACGAAAATTATAATAGTTAGTCAATTTTTCTGGAAGCTGTCTGAGGTAGTCATGAAGCGATCACAAGTATCTTTGTAGCATTACTCGGGTCTAGGGGAATCACCGTGTAAGTAACGTTGAGGTTACACGAAAGATACTAGGCAAGAAAGACCGGGAAGTCGATTGATGAGTTTGTGAAACCTAGTCGACCGAGATGGCTTGGATATACCCTACATATGCTGAAGTCAGTTAGATTAGGTTAGAAGAGAGTTAAGGGCGGTCAGACCAAGATATGACACCAGTCGATGGGGTGTCTCTGACTGTTGGCCTGAGTCCTCTGAGGGCGATACACACTGTCTGGTTGGCTTCCTCGAGACGATAGGAATCAGTGATTGAGAAGTCTTGAGAACATTACTGAAAATCAGTCTCAATGGCACTAATGTATTCACTCCTTGTCATCTTCTGAAGCTTGAATGTTCTCACTAACCGTTATTTTCAGATTGTTTATTCTTTCTTACAGCTATCTCTACTTTGATATCAGTTATCTTCTACTCACCTCTTCTTTGTATACTACTATAAAGTGTGGCAACTTGAGCTGATGTACCTGTGTGCGAGGTTCTACATCAATTTTTTCAGTCAATCAGTCATGATTTGTCTCAGTATGCGTGGTATATTGTTAAAATGAAGTTAAAACCTTAACCACCACGGGATTCGAACCAATGGCCATTAGATTACTGCATAAGACTTAGTCACTGATCATATCTTAGTTGTATTTCATTATTTATAAAGATGTATATATCTGCATAGTTTTATAATTCATCATTAATCTACATTATTATTCATTGTTGACATTTTTTCTCGATTTAGCTACGCTATCGACTAAGTGAATTAAACATGGACGCCGGTTATTCTGATTGTTTAATGAATAGTTGGAATTCATTGAATTCAATTGAACCAAATCGTGGTACAATTGTAAATCGATTTGATAGATGGCATAATAATACAATAGCTGTTATACAATTACTTTGTCAATTAGCTAGACGTTTAGCTACACTAGATGCACAACTATATCATTGTAGTAAACATGAATATCATGAGAATGCCGTATTATTGTGTAAGAATGAATTGAATTATCCCCTATATTGTCATTTATCATCGTCTGTTACCACTCTCCCTCCTCCTACTCCTTCTGCAATTGGTACTGCTGCTGCTGCTGCTGCTGTCACTGCTGCCTATTCATCTTCCCTACCACATCATTTATTGAATGACTTCAGTCAAACAAATGGAGATGATAAATATGAAAAAGTAAGTATAAAGTAAAAGTTTTTTTATGTTATTACTTGTATTATACAATTGTTGATTCGATGATCTGGTGTTTGCATTGATCAGTCCCGCTTTCGAATCTCAGTGGGAACAACATTGTTCCCTGGAAGGAAAATACACCCAATGGATGAGTTTCAACTTGGACGAAATGCGCTTTCTGGATCTCATTGCTAGAGACCATCCATCATTACTATGAAGTAAAAGGTTTCTCTTTTTTATGACTTTAAAGTAAAAGAAAGTAGAATGTTGATTGTTTACATTAGGAATTAATGACTGAAGATATTTATAACAGCTAAGATTTTATTTAACTTAGAACTATTGAACCATTTCATTTCTTCTACGAAATGTGAAGTGATTTTCACTAGCTGTTTCATTCATCTTCAACTATCATCCTTTTATGCATAAATCAGTCCGTTAACCAAAACTTTAATTATTTACTTCTACTCTACATAAAAACCTTTAAAAGACTATTCTTACTCTTCACTTTTCGACATCTTCAAAAGGTTTAAATACTTCTACTACTCTTCATTTATCAAATTCTTTCTTCTCTTCTATACTTCTGTCTACTTTGATATCACTCCATTTTCTATACACATATCTTTTTGAATACTGCTGTGTAGTGTATAGTAAATTGAAACAATGTATACTTTTTTGTAAGATTGTCTAACACTACTTTTGTAATAACCTTTACCTTTTAGAAGTATAGACTGAAATGTTTTACAATTTATGCATTTTTCACCTACGAACCCCCCCCCCCCCCGTCATAAAACTGATTTTTATTGATGCATCGTTTGACAGCGAAACAATTGAATGCAGTTATATTCATATCATTTTGGTTGTTGGTTATTAAGTTTGTGTCATTAGATATTAAAAGTTCTAAATGACTTACCAACTTACTTCAGCGGGATGTCTGAATGTTTATTAAACAGGGAAAAAAGCGTGGTATATAAAATTGGAAGACTTGAAAATGTGAAGGCTGTTTGCTTATAGGATCATTTGTGTCCGCTCACATCTCTAAATATGTAACGATTTGTGTATAGCTACCTAATATCTCTATTTAAAGTTGGAGGATATAGAAAATCTTTAGATATTTCCTCACCATCGCTATCGTCTCGTTGGTTAGATTCCTCTGAAAGTGTTAAAGGATAATTGTATTGTTATCGTCTAATAACACATGACCAATTTTACATAAGTCAATGTACACCAGTACCAACAACATGTTAGACAGTAATAAAATGCTCATAAAAGCAGTTTATTCATTGATCTGCAGTCAAAAGGTTACTTCAACGGAAAATGCGATAACTTATTTGTCTGCAGATGGCTTAACTATGGACTCGAACTATGTACTAAAAAGCCTCATAAAATGGCCGATGTCAACGGGCAAATACCCTCACGTTAAAACAAACTTATTGGCATAGTTGGAGGTTACTTAGCTAATATTCAGATTTATTTTAAAAACATTTACTTATTTAGTATAATCCTAGAAGCATTTAGTACCGAGATGGGTGCACTACAAAACCTTTGGGGTAAAGAATATAAATTGGTTGATGAGGTTATAAACCTTGATTTATTAATATGACTGCGACGTGTATAACGCATACCTAGTTGCCATTTTCTTCAACCTTCAAAATTAGCTGAAGTACGGTTACGTTGGTAAAACTTTAAAGGTGGCCATAGTAACATATAGCATCCTTCTATGAAGTGTCTAAAAGTTTTGCTCCGTCTGCAGTATGAAAATACTGACTTGTAGTTTTTGAGGTCCCACGTCAAAACTATTGGTGGTGACTAAGAACCTTGAGTGAAATGGCTTAGAATCGATCCCAACGACACTGATGCAGCCATACCATTATCTCTATAGTATTCATTATATCGAATTTCTTTTCACCCTTTGACTTGATTTGTAGTTTGTCTGTCGTTTGTCTTGTGTCCTTGTCTACTGACGCCCTCATATGAGGTGCAGCAAATTGGACAGTTACTCAGAAATGTCAGATCCAATTTTAGCATTGACTGACTGGTTTGTCGAATTCAAAGCTTAGAAACTGAAATGTTACTGTTGCAAGACAGCGAGAAAACTTTGCCTATTGAATTTATCACTCGTATTAATTCATCAAACCACAGTAAATGTGAATTTCTATATAAATTCCTTTGATACTGTGTGATGATTGAAGGTGAAATGGAGATTTGGACCGTGGCCAAAATTTGAACCAGTGACAACCAGGTTTCCGGTCCGATGCTCTCTCTACCAACTGAGCTACGAGGTTTGGAAACCTGGTAGTCGCTGGTTCAAATTCGGCCGTGGTTTAAATTTTCATTTAACCTTCAATCATCACCCAATATCAATACCAGTCTGCAAAATCAGATCGTCAAAATAATAAAAATTCTTTTTTTTCGACAAGTAAGACAGAATCAATAGGGGACTACACATACAAGCACATCGGTTCAAGTTGCCACACTTCACAGTAGTATGGATAGGAAATGAGTGATATCGCAATAGATTAAGTTGTGTGAAAAAATAAACAATCTGAACGATAACGATTAGTCAGAACATTCAAGCTTCAGAAGATGTTAAGGAGTGAATACATCAGTGCCATTGAGACTGATTTTCAGTAATGTTCTCAAGACTTCTCAACCACTGATTCCTATCGTCTCGGGAAGCCAACCAGACAGTGTGTATCGCCTTCACACGACTCAGGCCAACAGTCAGGGACACCCCATCGACTGGTGTCATATCTTGGTCTGACCGCCCTGAACCCTATTTAACCCAATTCAACTTCTAGCATATACATCGAGTTAGGTAGTGGTTTGACATGCGCAGTACAAGTCAAAGCCATCCCAATTGATTCAGGTTTGCAGCCTCGTTAACGGTTAAGTGTAGGGGAATAGTACGATGATCAAACATCACTGATATAGATAGAACAGCCGACAGATTGGCTTTCATCTAAGGTAACAAAAGCCAAATTGCTTATTCTTCCAATTGTCATGGGTAAGTTGAGATGTTTATAATGTGAACAATTTTGATAATAGGCAAACCCTGTGCAGAATTAGTGTTTGTTGTGAGCCTATTTATGGTACTTTGAGTACATAATGTCGTCTGATTAACTCTGTTGGTAACTTAAATAACTACTGTTATTCACAAAAAATAGCCGTCTACTGTAGGGAAAATAGAGAAGACTAATTGGTTATTTCACTTGTTACTAGTGTAGCCCTTTTAGAGTTATTTTTATTTTCTTCCCTCGTAATGTAAATTAACTATCTTTCTAGTCACGATACACTTTCACTACTACAATAGCACCAGATTTTTCGAGTTACTTTAAAGTCTACCTTAGCAACTACTAAAATAACCAGTTAGGCTTATCTGTTTTAGCCGATAAGTCAGGTTTATAAAAGGAGTTTAAAGGCCACTCTGGCAACGATCGAAACAACGAATTAGATTTCTTCATTTCGGCTGGATAGACATATATTCATACAATAAAGAAGTCTGATTGATTATTCCAGTTGTTGCTAAGGTAGCCTTTAAAGTCACTCCCGATTTTCATGGACATCTTTACGTGATTGGTTATTTCAGTGGTTGCTGCGGTGGCTACTAGAGGCAGCCTATGGCTAGTTCATGCCTCATTATTTTTTGTGAAAGCATGTTGGAAATGAAATCGGTAGTTAGTTACGGTAATAAAGGTGGAGCTAGAGTTTACTTTGAATTAATAATTCACATTTGTATGCATCATTCTCTTTGAATATAGTACATGAATGACTTTGAGGGCTACCGCAGTAACCACTGTTTCAACCAATTACTTTTCTCTACTCCAGTTGAAAAGCAGTTTTTAAAAAATAGGAAATAGAAAATGTAAATCATTTCAAGTTGGTATCATCATTTAGATGACCAATTGAAAACCTGAGAAGGAGGAATAGCTGTTTTGTCCCAGTATAAGACTCATCAGTAGTGCACACCCATGGCTCCACCAGGGTCCATCACGGGGCCTTCAGGTCCAGTGGCTAACAAACTGCCATTAAGTCACTGAGTCTGAACTTAATTGGTTCATATTTCCCTACTTCTGCCAGTTTCGTCCGTGGTATGGTCATGTATGTGCACCGCTGAGCAGTTCCATACTAGTGCGAAAACGTTATTCAATGCTCCGCCTACTTATGTCAGTCCGTGATAAATACCAACTTGAAATCAATCACAATTTAGATTTACTCAACTGTATTATTATTACAAGGAATCAACTTTACTGATTATCCTCCTCTTGACTATCTTATGAATACCATGAAAGATGCAGTTCTACAGTTGTTCAATACCGTAAACCTATTGGCTAGTAAATACGATAGTGCTATCTGTTTGGAGGGAACCAATCAGCGTTAATCCCTGATCGAATCATAAAAGGCAGCACGGTATCTCTCCCACTCTCTTCATAACAAGTTGGTTAGTACTAAGATTTCCATATATTTATTGGTATAAGCCTTGTTGAAATTCTTCTTCACTTCTGACAATAGGAATCACGAATAAAAAACAGTAAACTGACGTACAGACAGATCTCCAACGACTGTGTTGGATGAAGGTTGAACTATATGTTACAAACTGACAGTACTAGGAAAACATGAATCATTGGATTCCGAGCTAATGGTTCAGTGATAACAAGCTGACTGTGGAACCCGGAAATCCTCGGTTCGATCGTTAGGCGTTGTCAAGGCTGCTCACTACTAAGACTAAACAGCTATCCAGTACTTCCAGGTGTCCCACGGTTCTCTCCAACTCATGTCAGTTCGTGAAGATTACCAACTTGAAATTAACAAATAAATCCCTACATTATAAATGGTATTATCCTCAGATTTGTTAAATGTTGTCCAAAAACAAACAAGAATGTATTTGATCCACGAAATTTTGTATGATATACTTACCGATTGTAAATATTGTTGAAATAATAACTATAACTTTTGGTTGTAAGTAGATTCGTACAAATAAACAAACTATACCCGTCGCACAAGAACTGGCTAACGTGGCTCGGTGGTGTAGTCAATAACGCCCTGGAGTTTGAAGCGAGCGCACCCGAGTCCGAATCCCGATGAGAACAACACTCACTGAGGAGCAAGTACATCCAGCTGACGAGTCCCAGATAGGACGAAATGTGCTAGCCACGATCCATCATTAAATAAGTGGATGGGTAAATTAACTTTGAGTGTCTGATTATAGTAATGATTGATACTGGCTAGTAGTGGAATCCTGGATGCGCATTTCGTCCTATTTGGGACTGGTCGTCTAGATGTACCTGCCTCCCAGTGAGCGATGTTGTTCCCACAGGGATTCTAACTCAGGACCGATCGCTTCAAACGCCAGAGCGACATCCATTACATCACTGAGCCACGACAGCCACCTCTTATGCGACGGGTATAGTTTTGGTATAATTGCTTGTATGATACCGTTGTTGATTGGAACGAATTGATCGGTCTCTGTTGGCATATGGGCTCCTGTGCGGATGCCTCTATATTACCTGTGTATTAATTATAGTAATGATGGAAAGTGGCTAGCAGTGGAATCCAGAATGCACATTTCGTCCTATGTGGGACTCGTCAGCTGGATGTACTTTCCTCCTAGTGAGTGATGTCCCCACCGGGATTCGAACTCGGGAGGCAGGTACATTTAACTTCGAATGTCTGATGATAAATAAAGAGTCTTCAAGGTTACTTCTCATTCATGGAGCGGAATCAGCTTGAATACAGGTGAAAAACAAGAAAGCAAACTGGCTAGCTTTTGGATTTTGACAGTGCTAAGAAGCTCTATAGTGTGAAGCTACAAAAGTTTGAGATTATAAACTACCGACTTCTACTCAATCGACAGAATAACAACCTATTCATTGTTAACCTATACAGTCAAGTTTCATGTTATGGTCTCCTATTACATCATTTATACGCATTGCTAAAAACATCTCCATATCTATTCAACGTTCTCTAATTGTTATGAATTGATGTTGAAGTCTACTGTGAAATCAATAAATCCCTTATCAATTACCTAAATGAAAATATATTAGTCTATTCATATTCTCTGACATAACTTGTAATAAGTAACACAAGAATATACACACGTGTACCCTGTGTCTGACACACTTTTTGGATGTAAAACAAGCTTATTAAACGATTTAACAAGATGGTGGAATGATTTAATGAAATGTTCAATGATGAACAGTAGCACAAAGTAGAAGTAGTGTACAGATTTGAGTAATCGTTTTTGAAGATACACTTACATAATCTTTCAGAGTTGATCATAACAATCGTCATTTTCATTATCTATGTAAGTAGTAATGATGCTGTGGCATACACAGTGAAACGTTCAGAAAATCTTGTTTTCGATTTTCTAAACACGTTGGGATTATATAGAAACTTACCTATATAATGAATCAACTTGACTCGGCGCTCAACTTCTTTCAGGACATTCGTAAAAACTATGGCCTGGATGTTTATAGTTAGCTTGTTGACCAAGTCAAAATAGAAGATTAATGCTTAAAGGAATAATTGCAGACAGAATTTTTCGCGCCACTGAACTTCAAGTACTCTGGTATCACTTCTTTCAAAAGCTGTAAGCTTGTGAAATTATCTGTTCACTTAAATAATTGATTTTACAATAATAATGAGAGGAATGGGGAATATGAAGCGGTTTGACTAGTAATATTCATCAGCATAAAAAATAATAGTCTAACTTTCTGAGCATCAGTTAGTTACATATTTATTATCATTCAACTATCTGAGATAGTCATAGTGTTTGGCAGACTATTTATATTTATACAAGGTGATGATTGTGATTACGATCATGCGGTAGTAACGCGTCATGAATTCACATAGTAGTCGGGCAAAGCGCCACTCCTGATTGGAGTGAAATAAAAATCTCGTCACTAGATGGTCTTCGTAGCTCGATTGGTAGGGCGTCGAGTCCGGAACCCGGTGGTCGGTGATTTGAATCCGGCCGCGGTCCAAATTTTCACTTTACCTGTAATTATCACTCAGTCACATATTTCTCAATATCAGTTTTGTGAGGTGTAAGTGAATATTTACTTCATTTTTTTCTATTTTCTTGGTATAATGTTTAGCAAGTGACATCAGCTAGTAGAAAAACAGTGGAAATCATAGGATACTAGGCAAGCTGTTTCACCTCTATACCAATGTCCTCAGAGAGATTTATACCTAAGAATGAAGGTCCAGTTAGCCAGTCAGAATCAACATTGTACCTGAGATTACTGCATAATATTTCAAATCGCAATATCTAATTTCAGCACATGAAATCAAGATGAAGGATAAAGAAATAGGGAAACGAAGCTGTAATGAAAAGTCATAAGAAGGAAAACAGTCGAGGTAAAGCACATCGTGCAGTGTCATATGACAGTTAAGCTGAATATAATGTGTGAATGCGTGTCTGTTACTGACATCGATTCTCAGATATATCACCCACAGTCTCCTACCAATGACTTCACTTATCAACTGGCAATTCTGTATTTAAAGGCAATATTCATCATGGGCCATAAACAAATGAACAACCATCGAAAATCTGACATCAGTGAACACTTGTTTTGTTGTAGCATGTGACTCCTCAGCGGAGTGCTGCCATACCCCTGCCAGGGGTCGAACCGAGAGCTGTCACATCTCGTGGCACGAACACATTACTATTCAGTCGGTGAATTGGAATTCGATGGTTAACATTTTCTTACTTCTCTCAATTCGTATTTGTTTTCTTACCCAAATTAGGTGGTCTAACAGGTCATGGATTCTCATTAGCACTTCAGAAAATCCACTTCAGGGTAGGATTACCTGGGAATCAGTCAATCTTCACAAAACCTCAAAGCGAATTTCATGTTACATTCATCTTGATGACCAGCAGTGGAATCGAGTGTACGTATATCGTGCAATTTGGGATTTATAAAATGCATATATCGGCACCACAGTGAATGATGTTGTAAGCACTGAGACCCATACCCAGTATGCATCGCCGAAAATGCCGAAGGGTTATTTACCAGACCAGTGTGTCACGAGAACCACCTCCTATGCAGTGGGTATCAGTTGGTGTTTCCTAATACTTGTAATTTCCCGTTGCTATACTGAATCGTATTGCTCAACATCTGTTGGTGGACGGGCTGCATTGCAGACACCTCTATATTGCTGGATATCATTGATGTTATATTTTACATTCTTCTTTACGTTGTTGAGCTTATTTCATGTTTCCAAACACGCCTAGAACCAGCACTCGTTGACTTCATGGGGGTAGTGCCATGTTTTATTCTGACCACCTTAAACAGCTTTCTCAGAGGAGGTCATGGGAGCGCTCTCCTGAATAACCTCACAATAGGACAAAACAACTGTTAAGTGCTCTCCACTCTCCAATGTTTCTCCAACTAATGTCACTCTGTGATGGATATCAACCTGAAATCAATCAAAAAATCCCTACAAACCCTAAAATTTTACTCAGGTTAACATAGCATGGTGGGTAAATGGTGATTAACTATACAAAGCACACAACCCAGCCAATTCAGTCAAGGAAGCTTTCTAATCTAGCTAATTAGCTTCCCTTTTTTGTCTGAGGTCTTAAGGTTAACCTCCTGAGTCAATCACGTGTTAGTTCCATGATACATGGCGACTATAGTCAAAAACCTAAAGTCTTTCCATAAGCTTCATTTTTTTTCTTTGTTATTTTTTGGAGGAAACTGCTGCTCAGTGTGCTTAACCTTTTGGTAGTCAATCGAGTAACTTATTGATGCCATATATGGTATCAGTTGACAAAAATCAATGAAGCCTTTTGTATTTATGCAAAACAGTTCGTTGATCACTGGACTTTTCAAACAAGTGAGAAGGTCAATGCACAAAATCATTTCATTCCGTATATCCAGATGGCGTATGAATGCAGAATGAGCATTACACACTGTACACTTTAATGCGAATATGAATATAGTACATCACAAGAGTTCTTTTTCTCAAGAAGTGTTAAGCTTGCTATCTGTAATATATAATAACGATAAAACATGACACCTTACTGTTTAAGTATCAAGCAACCACTGCTTGATATCGAACTAAGTATTTGTTTACACTGATGAACTGAAGTATTCTTCAGACTACTTGAATTTGAAATGAAATATCATATTGGGTGAAGAATTCAAAATCTAATTAGAAATTGAACGATGCGTGCCAACATTTCTCATAAATGGATTGTTTTCCATCCACTCCTGTATGTTTACATAAGAATTTCACATTAAAAACTAACAGTAGACATTTCACTCTCTGGACTTTATGATAATTCCCTTGAACATTGAACGGAATGTTTGCTTTTTTCTCGTATCGACTATAATTTTAATACAGACTGTCATTAAGATATTAGTAACAGATGAAAATTATCGTTTTTACCTTTATGAACTACTCATATACCTAAGTAGTATGTAATATCAATTCACAATATTTAATTCTTAGCTAATATATCAACAACGAAAATTCTGTTCCCACTAATATTGTAGGATGTCAATGTTGACTAAATTAAAACTGTCTGAATAACTTAGTTACCTGAACTTGTAGACTGATGTATATATTCACATACTACTCAAATCTATGCAATAAAGTAGTAGAAGTTAGATTGATTTCTATTGGCTGTTTAATTACTTCAGTATGGATTACTCTCCCTTTTTCTTCTCTTCATTCAGAATCAAATATTGGAACAACAAAGACAATTGATTACACAAATTAAAGAAGCTCAATCATTAAGAGCTGAATTAGAGACATGTCGACGACGTCTACTGGAAAGTATACCACCGAATTTGAAATGTGATCTAACGCATACTATATTAGGTAAATTAGGCAGAGATTTTATTGATGATACACAGTCAACTATACCGATAAAGCCATCAAATGCATACACTGGTAGTAATACAATTAATAAACAGAGTAATAATAGTAATACTAGTAAAAGAGCATCAAATTATTTCTCAGAATCTCAGTTAACACTTCATCCAGAACAATATGAACAAAATCAATATCAATTGAATGGTGATAGCCAAAAAAGAATATTGAAAATCACTTCTGATAGTGACGATAATGGTCATGATTTAGACTGTCAACAAGCCACAACGACGACGACAACAGCAACATCACAATTTCTTAGACAACGTGTTGCGGAACATTTAATTGAATTTTTAAATTCTTTTGTGCTTTCACAGGTGAGTTGTTGACTTAAACTGTGTTTATTATTTCTTGTTTACTTTTAGAATTACTTTATTGAGGAGATAGTGTAAATAACTACTTAGGCAAGACCGTTCTTTGTAACATTGTCATACGTTTTGGTTGTATTGTGTCCTTTGAGCTGGGTTGTCTATTCAAGGAGCTTTCATCGTCTAGCTAAACGACATAATTCACAGTATGAACTTCAGTAGGAAGTGAGCTGTCAATATCTCTCCCTGAGTGATTTGGTAGCTTGCCCTGACCAACTGGTTTGTGATTGGTTGTCTCCTTTGATTGTTTTGCCTATCCCTAGCATCATCAGCTACAAAGTTATCGACAGAAATCAATAAACGCATCATCCTACCATACATAAAGAATGTATCAGAAATCATGACAAGATTACTGAGGCCACTCATTAACCAATAAATTCCCTGTAAACACTATTATACAGACAAAAGGATGCAACAACCAAAGAAGATAAACCGAATATCATTCACGAAATCAACTGCAATAACTGTAGTCAACACTACATTGGACAAAGTGGCCGCCCTCTTCTCCTTCGTCTACATGGACACCAATTGGCTATTAAACGTCACGACATTTCATCACTCATTTCAATGTACGTGGATAATTATGGGCATGAATTCAATTTCGACAATGTAGAGAGGGGAAACATAAACAATGTCACAAAATTCTTAGAAGTTTAGCATTCAGGTCAGTCATTCAGCAATCAACAGATGTATAGACATAAACCCAATCTATCAACAAATAAGAAAGATGACAAACTACAGAAAGGTCAAAGGTTAAGTAGAGGAATAACCAATAGGAATGTCTATGTAGTCAGTCAACGACATAACAATCAAAGGAGACAACCAATCACAAACCAGTTGGTCAGGGCAAGCTACCAAATCACTCAGGGAGAGATATTGGCAGCTCACTTCCTACTGAAGTTCATGCTGTGAATGATGTCGTCTAGTTAAACGATGAAAGCTTCACGATTAAACAACCCAGCTCAGAGAAAACAATATAACCAAGACCATCCACCTGAGCTACAAATATTATCCGCAATTGTCATAAGTCGCTATACTGATAAAATGCATTTAAACTTCGCGTTGAACAACCTTTATAGGCTTATATATTGATCCTAATCATCATAGGACTAGTAGATGTTCAATTTGAAGGTTTGTGGGGATTTGTTGATTGATTTGCAGTTGGTATTTTATAACGGACTGATATCAGTTGGAGAACCACTGAAAATCTGGGAGCACTGGACAGCTGTTTCGTCCTAGTGTGGGTTTTTTGAACCGTGCGTACTCATGACGTCGCTGGAGATCTGATGCCACGACCTTATGATTCCGTAATGAGCGTATTGTGATTGAGCCACTGGGCTGAAACCGGATGGTTCACATTTTCCTACTTCTATCAGGTTTTGATATATAGCGACCATCATCCAAGGTCATCATTTGGCATACTGCTTCACTTCTGACTTGATTAACCATGCTATTCATCTTGGAGCAAGTTACCAATGAGCATTCAGCAGTAATTCAGTTTCAGATGGTACTGTATCATGATGACATTATCAGTAGGGAAGCTAAAGGTCCTTAGTTTAATGCTATAGTCATTCAAAGCTATCAGGAGGCGTTCATTTTTAATTCCAACTTGATATACTCATACTGAAAGTGTTCATCATTGAATTTCAACTAAGTATATGAATCTAAAGTTATTACACTATCATAGGCTCTATCCTGTATACGATCATCACTGTCATCAACTTATGAAGAAGTTCAAACAAGGACAAAATGTGTATCTACTAATTTTGATGTAAATTTCAAATATATATTGTTCCCGATTAAATGAAGTCCATGTAAACCACCCAACTAGAAAGATAAAAACATTTTTCTCATTATAACTAGGCAGTTGAATTCATAGAATTGTATATGATATTATCTTTTAAATAAGGGATTTTATTTAGAGGTAGTATATATTTGCTAATCAAATACACCTAAAGTGTTACAAAATATAATCACATAGATATAACTAAACTGAACCATTAATTGTTATTTGTTTAGTAATCTCATATATCAAAGGAGAACAATCAGCAGGATATATAGGTAGTTAACAACTATCAAAAGTAGTAGGATACGCTTGAGCTATTATGAATCAACTATTGATTTCAAAAATTGACTAAATCCCGCCAAGTTAATCACCACATTAAAACAAAAAATTTTTTTTTAATATCACTGCAAAGAAATGTATATTTGTTTGAATTTAAAAAGATTTTTTTGCAATGAAATGTGTAATAGATTCAAGCTATAGATTATTTTTATTCCATTTTATCTTTCTTTATCTTAGTTCACATAAGTTCTGGCATAGAGTTTGTATCGGACATGCGTACATACATACAGACATTATGGTAACCAACAGTAGGTTTATCCACACAGCGAATTCTTAGCCAAAAGAAAATAGATATAAACATGTGTTATAGAATAATTTATATACGCTTATACTGAACCTACATCTCCCAAAGAAGATTGTCAAGTTTTTACGTTCAAATTTAATATTGGAGCTTGCGGGAATATAGTGATTTTTCAAGTTGGTATTCATCATGAACTGATAGCATCGGACAGCAGTTTCCTCCTAGTATGCTACTCCTCAGTAGTGTGCACTCATGACCTTCAGGCTCCGTGGCCAGTACCTTAGTATTAAGCTACTGAGTCAGAATCTAATGTTCCATATTTTCAACTTCTGTCAGTTCACGATATAGCGCAACTATCAACCAATATCACCGTTAAGTATTTGTCCTCATGTCCACCAAGTTTATCCCACTGGTCACGGTTTATCGTTGTCCACTTATGAGAAGTCCCATACTAGGGCGAAAAAGTTGTCCAGTTCTCCCAGGTCTCCAATATTCCTCCAACTGATGTCAGTTTATGATAAATACCAACTTCTTACATTGACTTTTAAATGTCCCTTTTTTACTTGTGACAGTTGTGTAAATTGAAAAGCGAAGAGAACATGTAAGGATAAGATGTTATAACTATCGACTTGCCTGAATGACTCAAAAGGATTCTTCTATCACAAATGACATATGAGCTTCTGTGTGAATAGTTTGATACTGCTAGTTATGTTTTTGGTAGTAATCATAATTGGGGGATAGTATTAAATGGCAAGATATGAGTTTCTTCGTGTTTGGTGGTCGTTAGCTGAATGTACCCGTTTCCAAGTGAATATTAAATTTTGAGTTAATCAGACAGAAACTAAACTTAGAATTCATTACTTCAAATGCTACTATAATGAGAAAAAAAGGTTAAAGAAATTATTCATCATCGTTATTTTTCCCTTCGGCTTCGGTAGCATGCCTCCAGTGCACTCTATTCTCTGCAGACTTTCCGACCTGGCACCATGACTGCCCACAAACTCTCATCTCTTCCTCACACCACCTCCTCCATGTCACCCTCGCCTCGGACACCCAACTCGTCGTTTCCCATTTCGATTCCACTCGATAGCCTGGCCTGTCACGTGATATTTCCAACCGGTCTTCTCAGTGCATGCTAAACCCAATATCGAGCAAGCGTAGACGGCAAGTGTTGATGTATGTCTGTAGTTTGTTGGAAATGGTTTACGTAACGTGCCAAATCTCTCAGCCATTACATGGAGGCACTGACTTGACGAAAATTAGTGTTGAAAATCGGCACCTTGTTTACGCTTTATGCTGAGTGCAGTGAAGTGCATTAGATCTCCACACTGGTTTCAGATTGATTAATGAACGCCTGTCTTTCTGTCTTTCTGATCCTGGTTGGCTTTGACATCCTCATCTGTGCCACCACCGCCTGTAGTTGAGATGACATCCTTTAGGTTCGTTCCGTTAATGGTGATTGAAGCGTCTTGTTGTTGTTGGTGGTGGTGGTGTTGGTTGCTTATCATCATCACCTCCGTCTTCTTTACTTTCACTTGAAGTCACGTTTTAGTTGCCGTGCTTCTTCTGTCATCTTGTTAGTTTTCACCTGTAGATCTTCGAGTTTGTGTGACATTAGACACAGGTCATCGGGTATTAGTTATTTCTATTTGTTGATACACTTGTGATTCTCCGTTGTTTTTTAATTGGTCGAATTGTCCGACCTCTATGGGCTTCTATGCGGATGCCTCGATATTACCTGAATATTAATTATGATAATTTGCTTGGTTGTTGCTAGCATATAATATTTTCATTTATCCCGGGTGACAGAGAAAGAACTATTGTAACTGTATCTGTGTTGAAGTTGAAGGCCATGGGAGGGTAAGAACAAACATCTTGTAAATACATAAATCAGATATAAAAATTTTAATTGCTATGACTTCTGATATGCTTAGTAATCAGAGGAGCACAAACATAGAGTATTGTGATGGCACTTTGTAAATAATAGTAAATGCTGAGGTTTTGTCAATCTTACGCTCAGTATCTACTAGATGGATGAGTATTCAGCTGTTCGTGAATTTCACTTTTCTTTTGTCTAACCATACTGGACAGTGTTTTTCTGTACACTCACAATTAATTCACAAGCACCAACAAGGATTGACTACTGAGAAGATACATAAACTGCCCGAGATTTCACTTTGTTATTATAACCTTTACTGTTATCTTCTAATTCATATACGCGAATTAATTTAACCATGTTGGTATCAAATGAAGACTATGTTGAATAATTTGGAAATGTAAATATGAAGCCTGACGAGAATTTACCGAAAATACGTATTCGCTTCAAATGTGTTGTCCTCTAATTATTACAATGAGGAATATTGAAACAGTAAACTATTGAAATATTTGTGAAATAAATATGTGAAATGTTTATCACAGACTTAGTTTAAGAAATCTTTATCGAATGAAAATACTTTATGATATAATAATAGTAAGCCGATAAAATAAAACTGAGAAAAAACATCGGCTTGATTGCAGTTAAACAATGACCGATAAGGAAGCATATTTCTTGTAATACAGAAAAATGGCTGTAGAACATCCAAGCTTAATTAATCCATAAGAATCCAAAATTGACATCGAAATGCGCTCAGTAACCTTGTGCACACTCGTGCAGTAGATGCAGTGAGTCACATCTTATTGTATGAGGTCTACTGACACTGCCTGGCTGGCCAAAACCTAGGCAGGTTGGGCGGCTCTCGAGTCCACAACCCATTGGTTGAAAGCAAACTCTCCAAACTACTGAGCCACAGCTCTACAAAATCGAGAGCTATAGAACAAATCACCAGAGAGATATAAATATGATAAAATGATAAAAATAATATGGAACATAAACTTTCAACTGAAAGCGAGCTGAATGTCGTTTGAGTGTCGTCAAGCTGGAATTAAAACATATCTGATATGACTGGTATACCAAGGTTTACTGACATAGTTCTCATCATTTTGAAAGTCAATTGCTTCATGGCATGGATGGCCAGGTGATGAAGTTGACGAGGATGAAGATGGAGCAGAACTAGTAGCTGTTGCTGAACTGTCTTAGGACAAAGTGATTCAAGCCACCTGTCGTAGGTCGACCATTGGTTGGTAGAGAAAACCAACGAATCTGTGAAGTTCGATTACCCGCGGCACAACAAAGAACCTGAAGTCCAGTACGATCAAAGAATCGAATTGAACTAGGTAAATCTGGTATTATATATGGTGGAAAGTGAGTTCTGATTATGAACTGGTTGGCGACTGCAGAGCGACCAAATTTCATGTTTCTTAGTCCTGACTGATGATTTAATTCCATCGGCCACCACTTAGCTAAGAGGCTCAACATGGCCGTGCACTTATGATGGATGTTAGTTGGATGACACGGGTTCGAATGTAAGAGGGGACATCATCATTTCCTTCGAGGTTACAGATACTCCTTGCTGATGACTGTCAGCAAAGCAGGAAGCTTAGATCAAGTAAGGCTTATCGAAGGATTTATTTCCTTCAAGTTTATTCATTGTTATAAGCCACTAGGTATGCAAGCATTTTCAGCCATACAGATTTTGGGAACTTCGGGATTCTAGGTAATATTGAAATGTTCTTCTTTTTTATCTTGTTGGTTGGTACCATAAACAATTAGTATCATTCCTCTGAATATATACGTCTAATTGCTGTGGTTCAGTCAACTTTTAAAAATAAACCAACTCATTTAAAGATGACTTGTTTCTTTCCCAGATCTGGACAAAAAATTGTAATCTAAGTCTATATTTGTTGGCTAACACATAGGCTTCAATCATCTTGTAGCAAAAAATTTGGCAACCCAAGGCCAAAAATTGGTTTGCCTCCTGATCACAGCCTGTTCGACAGACCTTCACAAGCTATCAGATAGAGATTTTATTGAAGCAACCACTGAGTATTTATTTACATGTTGTCTCAATTGTATGCACGGAAAAGTTGCTTCCGGCCACACATACCTTGAAAATCTTACCTGCACCTTCTGTAAAGCCCACTGTCAGCGTTTGACACCTTTCAGCAGTTTATCTAACTAGATTGCAATTAAGTGTGTTACAGTTATTGATGCATACACAATAATACTACTCATTATTTTTTAAGTAATATAAACTAAAGACGACTAAAAAAGCGTCAAGATAAATAAAAATAAAGCAATCGAAGTGAGTTTTAGCAGATACTTTTTAACATCTGTCGAATACCTGTTTTCATTTGTTAACGAAGCACTTCTAGGAGTCCTGATGTTGAAACCTATATCAGAGAAAGAAGAGTAGTCAGCCATAGTCTGACTGAATTGTCCAGATAATAAATCATGGTCAGGCCACTCGATAAGGTAAGGAGCAACGTTGTAGCATCATAAGCCATGTGATGGTAAACATGACTTGTAGATCACTACATAAACCTGCATCATTTTCTTGGATATACAGCAGGTAATGATTTTGGACAGTATTAGAGAATCTAATGTATTAATGATGGATAGTGGCTAGCAGTGGAATCCAGGATACGCATTTCGTCCTATTTAGGACTCGTCTGCTGAATGTACCTGCTTCCCAGTGGGTGATTTTGTTCCCACCGAAATTCGGACTGGAGAGCGATTACTTCAAACCCAAGGGGGTTATCCACTAGACCGCCGAGCCACGATAGGTATAGTTTTAGTATAAATGTTTTCATATCATACTATCATTGACTGAGAAATATATTCATTTAATCTACAATATGATCGAAAACTGTAAATAATCATTTCTTAATCTTATCTTTCTTTCAGATATTTGAAACAGAGATCAAAGTAGATCAAGATCTATGGGAGAGTATACAAGATGAACTTAGATTTGAGTTATCTTATTAGGTTATTGATAATCAACCTCACTTGTTCTCTATCTAACTGGATCATCTCTCATTTGTAAAAAAAAAGAAGAGAAAGTCAACCAGTTAGAAATACAGACAAGAATATAATACATGATTACACTGATTTAAGGCGAAAAAAAATATCAGTAAATTAAACAGAAATGTAACTAACTACCTTTTGAATAATAAAATCAAATAAACATCAGATTTTCTTGTTTTCTTTGTGTATTTTTAAGTTAAATTAATTTCGATAAGTTTACTTTTATAGATTTTATGCTATAAGAGGAAAAAGAAGAGACTATTTGTTGATAACTTAAAAATGTACCTTTTTCATCAATTGTGTATGTATTGTTCATTAATAAATATTATTAGTTATTATTGCATCTCATCAATCTATTTTTCATGCAAATTGTGTATTATTTCATAAGAAAATAATAATAACTTACCTGATATTTCGTCTATTCCATCAATTGTGATGTTCATATTATTGTATTCGTTTCATATTGAAAACTGTTCAATATTGAAGATGATCATATTTATTCAGTTATATTTTATCTGATTTATTTATAATCTATTTGTTTATTTACGCGTATATGTGCTTACCATGTATTTGTCATGTTTTTTCTTCATTTCTTAAGGAGTTATTGAGGTTACCCCTTGTTTATTTGTCTTTTCAATATAGATATAGGGAATAAAATAAGATTAGGTGACACATAAACGGTCTTGTAAACTTATCCACTGTATCTATGCAACACACATACGCACATAGGTAGGTGAAAGAGACTACTTCGTTTAGGTTTCTCCCGTTGATGGTGATTGGGTTCCTTTGTATATTAGTGTGTTAATGTGTAAACTGGCAACTTCAAAAGCTAAGCAACAACTATCAGATCATGTGCTCACATAGGCTGACTAAAATAGAAAAGAAACGCATAAATGGCTCACGGGAGAGAAAATTTATTCCAATGTCAAAAGAATCATTATTTATGTACAGAAAAAAAGGCTCATTTTTACACAACACCATGTTTGTCTCACATCCTCATTCTCGGCTTCAAAAAAAAACAAACAATTGACATACATACACATACAAATGAACAAACACCTTTTATCCAACTAAACAATAAAGAGAAAGTCATTATATCAATTAATCAAACAGTCAGTCGCTGAATGTTGTTTAGATGTTGACTATCGTGAACGTTTCATAAGTCGGGTTAAATGTTCTCTTAGTGCCACTTGTTTCTCCTTGAAACTACGCTTTGTTTTACGTCGAACTTTATGCTTAATCATTTGAAAAGTTTTATTCTTCAATTTTTCACGATTTGTTGTACTGGCATGCGCATTCATACGATTCACCTGGAATGTAAAGAAATACAGAAAAAAAAGGGAAACGAGATGCAGTTTTTAAAGAAAAATGTTTGAAAAAATTACTCCCCTTGACTGACACATTTATTGATTGACAGAATTATATACACAATGTAAATCAATAGGATATACTGATAATGCGATTGAGAAACAATGTGCAATTTCATGTATGTTGAATCTTACTACCTTGCTACTCTGTGGCGTGATGAGGTTCGAACTCATGAAGTATTTGGTTGAAAAGTGAGTACCTGAACCAATCTAACCACAGTTCTACAACATACACCTTGCCAAAATCAAAATGTCTGCGTTATGCATTATTTTTTTCCCCTTGGGTTCCTAGTGGAACATATAGCTTCAGTAGCACGCCTCCATTCCACTCTCTTCTCTGCAGTCTTTTCAACCTGGCACCATGACTGCCCACAAACTCTCATTTCTTCCTCACACGATCTCCTCCATGGCACCCTCGCCTCAGACGCCCAATTCGTCGTTTCCCATATGAGTTACACTCGAAGACCTGACCTGTCGCGTAATGTCCCCAAACGGCCTTCTCAGTGTATGCCCAATCCACCTCCACTTTCTTCTGCATATTTGTTGGGTAATAGGTTCTTGGCTGGTTCGTTGTTAGAGTTCTTTGTTGCTTATTATTTCTGCCCATCTTATCTTCAGTATCGCGCGAGCGTAGGTGGCAGCTGTTGATGAATGTCTGTAGTTTGTGATTTTCTACATTATACATTACTGCACTACAAATGATTTTGCGGAAGATTTGTTTTAATTTGGGGACTTATGGGGAGGTTTGGATTATGCTGATTTCAGATTAATGAAGGCCTGTCTTGTTGTCTTTCTGATCCTGGCTTTGACGTTCTCATTTGTGCCTGTGCCGGCGCCTGTAATTGAAACGATGCTGCCTAGGTAGATATGTAGGTGAAAGAGGCAACTTCCCTCAGGTTTCACCCGTTGATAGTGATTGGTGCCTGTTTTTGTTGGTTGGGTATCTTCATCACCTCCGTCTTTTCTACGTTCACCTGAAGGAAGTCCCATCTCCCTTCGCTGTCCTGCCAACTTGTTAGTTTTCGCCTGTAGATCTTCGACTTTGTGCGACGTAACACATTAGACATAAATCATTGTCGGCGAAATGCAAATCTTCCTTTGGGGTCTTTTCACCGGTCAAATGGCGTTTGTCCGTCTTCTCACTCCTCAGTTTTCTGCATGATGCAGTTCACTAAAATCGGGAAGATCATGGGTGATAATACGCGGCAACCTTATCTTACTTCTGTCTTCACTACACTTCAAAGGAGTCACTTGGCATCATCATCGTCATCACATGGCTGCTGTGTTAATGAGGTTGATAAAGATTTGTGGCACTAAAACCGTACTGTTGAAGCAGCTGGGAAATTACTTCTCGGTCGACGCTGTCGAAGGCCTCTTCAAAGTCGATAAAGTTGAGGTAAGGATCCAGTTGACTGCCATTCAGTGCTCTGTTCTGCGATGATGCATAGCGTAGCGCTGCAATTTGATCCGCACATGATTTGTTTTTCCTGAAGCCAGCCTGTTCTGGTCGTATTTTGAATCCAGTGCACTTTTTAGTCTCTCAAAGTCGATCTCCTAAGCTATAAATATATTCCTCATCAGTGATCTTTAGTTTTTGTTGTTTCTTCATTGGTCTTCTGTATTTACTTCTAATGTTTCACTGTTCGTCCTTCTGGACCTCCATCGAGTGGTTCATAACTCCATTTGTCTTTTTTAGGGAAATCATCGTATATACTACTTAAAAATGTTCTTGTAAGTAGCACACACCGCAATATCACCACATAAAAAACAGTAACAAGCTCAGCTTAGTTGAAATTTTATTTAAGTAAGGTAAGGTAATCGGCTTGTGACTTGTTTGCATCTTTGGATTTCAGTACAGCGAAACAATATGTAATGAATGAAATGAATAAACTTATAATGCAAGTTAGTAAACTAGCACAGAACTAGGTCATGAGATGTATTAATTATTTGTTCGAATGAGTTAGTGGTATTGTCAAGCAACTGAAACGTCGGTAAACAAAATACATTTTTTTGAGTAAAGTAATTCAATGGTTCAAGGTAGAGAGTGTTTAAACAAACTAATCATTTAATAACAACGTTGAATTGAACGAAAATGAGCAAATTTTGAATGATTTAAAGCAGAAAAAATTTTATTAATATCTATTGTGTGTAGGTTTGTTTGCATATTAAGCGAAATTTATGCATCAGTCAAATATAAAGTGGTTGATTTCCAACATCATGATAGTGTTACCTGAAGTATTATGATGATAATTATCGTAATTTTATAAGTTAAAATCATCCACTTCTTGATTTAATCTCGTCAGGTGAAGAAGCTGGCAAATACAATCATCAGAGTACTTTGAATGACTATTTGAGTGTGTTTTAAGACTCATCTTTTACTATCCAAATGTCTATCAAGCATGCATGCACTGTACGGAACAACAACAAATTTTCCTACTCTTTCTATCTGCATTCATTTAACCATCATGAAACTTCATAGTAACCGTTGCATTGTATGGTCGAATTACCGTAGAAGTGTTGCAGAAGTTAGCTGTGGAGTACACTATGTGAGAGAAGCAGTGAAAACGGTGATACATTTATAGAATTCATTGATTCAGATAGCCGGAATGCATCATGTATATCAAATCATCACTTAATATGGTACACTTTGTCAATTAGCTATACTGTGTAGAACTAAGTTACAAGAAAGTATAAAACGATCAAAACTCAAATACGATATTATTCCATGAAGTCTCTGATATGAGTAGAGACATTAGGCAACATGGTATAGTCGATTACAATGGTACAGATGTTATCTGTACTTATTTTCCATGAAAATCTTAACATTTTTCTTTATTCCCTCTGTTTCATGTTCCGTTTTGCTGACTGTTTACGACAGCCGACACTACTTCCACTTTTCTATACCCTTTTTCACACATTTTGACGTAATGATATCAAGTGAGGCAACTATAGCGTAGATTATTATTGTCCAATTGTTTAGGGCATGAAAACAACATCCAATTTAACAATTATCAATATGAAATTGAAAAAAAATTGATTACCTTAAAACCATATTTTTCTCGTCCAACTCGACCTTCTTCAATAGCTTCCATTCGTTCTGCTTTAGATTGACGTGAACGTTTCACTAGTCTTGTGATTGCACTCATACTGATTAGATTGCCTAAACTGCCATCTTTATTCTGTACACCAACACCAGTATTATCATTATCAGAATCATCAGAATCAATAACGAAATGCGAATCTGTATCTGATTTACGCTTATTTCGTAAAGCACCATAAGATGCAAAACGTTTCTATATAATGAATTTTAGGGATGGAAAGGGAAAAAAACAATGAAGTTGAATGAGGTTTTACAAGAAATTGTTAGACAGGAATCAATGCATGAATTTCAAAGTATTCTCTTCCAAACAAACCTTTCGCACAAATTTCCTGTAAATATATACCCGCATATCCATGGACTTATAGATGTTGTGTAGCTGCTTTGGATTGCGATATCTGGACACCAGATACAGAGAATGCCAGCTATCCAGTACTTCCTATTCATGGAATATTGAAAACTCACCTCCGACGTTACTTATCGTTCCATTAAACAACTTAGATGTGGTAAAGCTTACTGTTCGGTAGAATAAACTTACTTTTAAGATCAGTATGGCAATCAGAAACAACTCAGTTAATAAGCATGTGCGCTAGCGATTGAAGAAAATGCCTTGGCGAAATTATTTGAGTGAGTAATTCGGAAGGTGAAACAGCGTTTGAAAGCATGAACCACTAAATGAAAGTTCTCTACTTCGATTAGTAAACTAGTAACCCACTGTGTCAAGGATAGAAATCTTTTAAGGTAATTCTAGAATGTTGGACATCGCTTCTTAATACACAGAAAGGTATCTTATAATAAAGTTAACATTCGTTTCGTCGCTGGTGAAGTAGGATTCGAACGATTATGCTCATAATTTTCCAATTTCATGAAGAATATTCAGTTTATGGAAGAAACACGCTGCCTACACTATATGCAGTATCCAGTTCAATGGTGCTATGTGCTATGCTATGTGCTGTTTATTGACTTCTGATATGTTTCAAACTCTAATTTATCTTTTTTCATTTACCTGAAGGATGGATGCTCATTAGATTATCTTTGATAGTCACAAAAGTTAGCATATCTCGTTGTCTAAATAGTAAATGGTCACTTTAGTAAGTGAATTCAATATGACGATTAAGAAGATACTCTGTGGATGCATCTACGCCCATGACACCTGTTCTCAGTCATGTCAACTAGTCTCCAACCGCTAGTTTCTATTGTCATGCGGATTCCAAACAATAAGTTTATGTTTCGCTACACGACTCACACCAGCAGTCAAAGATTTCACATACTGATAACATGTTTCAATCTGGCTATCACTAACGCTTTTTCCGATTTAAATTGACTTCATCTAACATTTTGAGACGAGGCACATCATAACCAAGCCAAACCAGTCGATGAAGGTTCACAACCACATCAAATGACTGTCCTCTCCTCCCTATACACCTAACTTTACACATGACTTCTGCATTACTGACGTGGTGATATCATGACACACGGGCTATACAATGAAAGTAACGGTGATCAAACACCTAAGAGCTTCTGATGTATTCTGCCTTTAATAGCCATATTTCGCAGTAATAGAGTAGAACAGAGCAAACTGAAGCACAGTACACTCGACGCTTAGAAAGTAATCAGATATTTCGGTGGTACAGCAAGTGGCGTAGTGGCATCCAGTTTATTCCAAACGGATTTTAAAGGTATAGAATAATACTGAGATGTTGACATGGTAATGAACTTATTTTGAAAGCAGTACTCATCATGAACTGACATCAGTCGGAGAGCCAGTGGTAACCTGGGAGCACCGGATAGTGGTTTCATTCTGGTATGGGAGTCCCTAACCAATCGGAAGTGAAGCGGATGTTAACCGAAGACCCGCTTGGTATTTACCGACTTGTGTCATCTGTAGTACCGACTGGGGAGATTTCCAACAACCAATCAAACGACGAGTATACTGCACTACAGTCCGCCCTGTCATGTTATGTAACTGAAAGGCATAGCCATTAAAAGTAGAAGATATGAAGTGATTACAAGGTTTTCATCATAGGTGTCTTCACAGCATTGCTCGAGTTTGACGGAATCATCGTGTGACCAATGTTGAGGTTAGGCGGCGAAGGGTATTAGGCAAGACTGGCCAGAAACCCAATTGGTGAGGCTGTGGAACTTAGTCGACTGAGGTTTATTGAATATGTACTGCGCATGCCGAGTCACTGCCTACCGCGACGTGCTATGCTAGAAGCAGGATTAAGTTGGAAGGGGTTGGAGGGTTGAGGTTGGCCAGAGCAGACGAGACGCAGCACTAGTCGATGAAGGCTCTGACTGTTGGTCTGAGTCATGTGGAGTGGAGAGTTGTTGACTATCTCTGGTTGGGATCCCTGAGATGAAAGGAATCAGTGGTTGAGGACCCTTGATGACATGACTGAAAGTCAGTCTCCATGGTACAGATCTATTCACCCTTTGATGTCTTCGAAAGCTTGAATATTCTCACTAACCGTTATCTTCGAATTGTTTATTCACTCACACAACTTTCTCTACTTTGATATCATTCCTTTTATATCCACTTGTTCTTTGTATACTACTGTGAATTGTGGTAACTTGAGTCGATGCACTTATGTGTGAGGTTCTACGTTGATTTTATCAGTCAGTTAGTCAGTCACTGAAGACCTTGTATGATAGTCGCGCCATATCGCTACTCGACAGAAGTAGGAAACTATTGACCACTGAACTCTAACCCAGTAGGTGAATGTATAACACGTTCGCCTTGCAACCTGAAGGTCCTATATACTGCTGAGGAGATTCACATAATCACTTGTTGGCGGTAACTTCTCACGGCGAAAAGTGACTCTGTAGGATTATACAATCACTTGTCAAGAGACAAAGAAAACACTAATTTCTCAGCGAAAACTCATACGAAATGATAGCAGACAGTGCAAATACAGAATAAAACAAGATATACAATCATGTCAAACCGACGATGCTAATGTACCATCTATAAACCTAAGAACTGAACTGGACTGTAAAAACTTGTCGCTCGTCAGAACGTTAACGAACCTAGACGTATAGTGTTTAACCTCTATCTGAGGCCCAGAAACCTCTTCATAATAAATATATTCATTTCTTTGTTATAATAATGGCTTAAGTTTAAACAGATGCGAGTAAAACATTACGACGAACATCGAGGGTCCTTCTACACATCTTAACAGCTTAGTAATACAGATTTCGACTTCAAAACTGAATGAAAAGGCTCAAAATATCTACGAGAATATGGGTTTCTTCAAGGTCATAACGCCAGTGAGTAAGACTTCCTGTTGATTAACACCATACAGTAAACCACAGGTACAATGTCACTAAACCTGACCCCTACATCAGTTGGCACTAATAACCTGGCAACTAAACCAATTACCGTTTGGCGATCGATCCCTGTAAGCACAGTTATGAAAGTTGGTGCTGGAAAAAGTGAATCACTTGGATGGTAAATGGAATATACATAAGCAGAGGCACTTTCATTTATGAATCCATGACTCATACCTACTTGATAAAGACTAACGGTACTACTCTATAGCTTAGACCTATGTGGATAAAAACACTAAAATATGTGACCTACTAGTGAAAATCAGGGATGGATCTCGTAGCTCAGTTGGTAGAGCATCGGGCCGGAAACTCGATGGTTGCTGGTTCGAATCCGGTCGCGGTTCACATTTTCATTTCATGTTGAGTCATCACCCGGTATAAACACTAGTCTGCCAAACCACGGCTATCTCAGATACTGAAAATGAAGATTAATTGTCCTACATAGAAATTCACCTACAGCAACCACATTCACATTTTCGATAGTAGGCGATAAGCCGATTGTCTACAATTGCCCTAAATGATGCTCCACAACTCTAAAAATTTCAGATCTAATTAGTGCACTAGACGAATGATTTAAAATAGAATCCTGGATATCAAGAGTGCAGAACAATTTACAAAACTCGATAGTCGGTGATTATCTCTACATACCTGCTTTGTTTGTTGATATTTACGCATAGCCTCAAACTCTTCTTGTGTAAATGTACGTGAAGATGCAATCTCCAAAGCTTTTGCCTTCAAAACATTTGGGTCAATATTTGGTTTCTTTGTTGAAGCATTTTCACCGCTATTATCTGCATCCATGATATCATTGTTTTTTTCAACCTCTTCTTCTTCATCATCAGAAGAGTTAGATAAATTCACCCATTCACCATCTGAATCATCGTCTTCTGATTCTTCATCATTCGAATATGATTCCCATGAATTATCGTCTTCAGCACACAGAGAAAAAGTGAGGGAGGGATCATTCATGATATTACAGAGTCACAGTTATATAGTACTTATAAGTAGTTTGGATTTATCAACTAATTAATTCCTCGACAAACACCATCAAGGTGCTAAACTTCACAGGGGCGGGGGGGGGAATGCAGTTTAAATCGATCGACACTCTTCCATCCTATGAACAAATACACATGTTTACTGCACTGGAGTCACTAGGACTTTATAAAAACAGTGAGATAATTAAGAGGAATTTTGATATTTCAAAGTTGATTGAAGAAAACAGAAAAGCATTGACTCAATATGGGGTTCTTTGGGAATTTATTAATTTCAAGTTGGTATTTATTATGGAGTGATATCAATTAGAAGGACACTGGAAACCTGGAAGTATTGGACAGACGTTTCGTCTTAGTTTTAGTATAGGACTCTCTCAGCAATGTGCACCCATAACTCCGCTAGGAGTCGAACCCAGAACCTACAGGTTCCATCGCCAGCATGCTACCATTCCCAATGTTCCTCTAACTGATGTCAGCCCATGATGAATGCCAACTTGAAAAATCTCCAAATCCTCACAAACCCCCAAACTGAATTGATCTAATGCTCATTGATAATTAGCTTCGAGAGGTGATTCCTGAAGTTCCAGTGAGAAGTCGTGACTAGCGGATGGGGAAAACCTGATGGACATGAAGACAAATGCTCAACAATGACATTGGGTGATGGCTGCGCTATGTAGTGAGGTGGCTTAATGGTAACATGCTGGCCACGAAACCTGAAGGTCCTGGGTTCGACTGCCGGCTGAGCGGGGTTATGGGTGTGCACTTCTGAGGAGTCCCATACTAGGATGAAATAGCTGCTCCCAAGTTCCTAATACTTCTCCAACTGATGTCAGTCTATAATGAATGCAATCGTTTGCATAAAAATAATATTTGATTTCATACCTTCATTACCACATTCCTTTTGATTGTAGTCGGTTTCTTTAGACAGCTGATTCTTTTTGGCACCAGACTGTTCTGAGGCTAAGACAAGTACTTCAGCGCCAGGAACTACTGATGATGTAATACATTGTCCATAATTAATTGCAACATCATGCGGTATATCATGTGTTAGTATATCCACTTGTGATTCTGTTAGACGTCCACATTCTTTACGCGGCAAAAGCTCAGGGTTTATCTAATGTTATCAAGGAACAAAAATAAACAAAAACAATCCTTTGGATAATGTAATTAAAAGACGTAGATTATCTGGAAAATTGCGATGTATATGCGCTATACACTTCGAATAATCTGATCACACATTTACTTGTTAAGGTATTATATATGAAAAAAAAACTGGAAATGGGGGAGCAAAATACTAACTGAAACATTAGTAAAAAAAATGCATATTTATCGAATTTCATAAACCTCTGTAAAAATCAGTCAGGATTAAAACCTAATCTATACTCTCTTTCGAAGAAATGCTTTTACATCAACAATACCATACAGAGGATAGTAGATCAAACGATTATTAGGCAATTGGTTATCTCACTAGCATGATAGACGGTGTAAGTTGGCAAACGTCTGTTGACCTTTCTGTATCCGTGCAAAGATATAATCGGTTATTGACCCATTGGTTCAATACATTATTATTTCGCATAACGGATGACAAGATGCTTTTCACCATATTTACTTTGTGTTGAGAATGTTATATCCTTAAGAAAATGAACGTTTTATACTTAATTTTCATAAATTAACCCTATGGGGAATTTTAATTACCTTTTTCGTAACTTTTCCCGCCTGACATGTATCGTTCATTTTTGCCGCTTTTAAGAATACTATTTCCTGATTGGTTAGTCTCTTACTTTGATGTGCTAATTTTTATTTTGACCTCAAGGATGCCCACAGTGTATATAAACGTAAGAGTTACTCTACTAGATTCATATTTCCGATTGAAATAAGTTACATTTTCTTCTCCTTGTATCAGCTCAGCCAGTTGTCGAGTATCGTATCGTTCATCCAGTAACCAGATTACGCCTCCTTAATTAAATGTATTCCAGAATCTCAACAACTGAGATAACCCCGCCCCCCCCCCCAACACTTGCAGAAGTCGAGAAAGCTGTAATTAACTTGAAACGAGGAAGGGCAGCAGCACCAGACGGACTAACTCCTGAGGTATACAAGGATGGTGGTAAGGTGCTATTAGTCAGGTTAACGGAAGTGTTAACCAGTTTATGGGAATCAAATACGATCCCCTCCGACTGGTTTACATCACTGATTATTCCAGTCTTCAAGAAAGAAGTCCTCCTGTGATAACCATAGAGGAATCAGCCTGACGAACATAGTGTTCCATAGGTTCCATAACAGCAAGCCCGAGAAAACCAGGCAGGCTCACACTGCACCAGGCTCTGGAACACAAGCACACTTACAGGTGCTCGACAACAGCTGTATTTCTTGACCTGAAGGCGGTGGCATCCGACTCCGTTGATCGAGAAGTCTTACGGCGATGTCTCTCACTGAAAGGGGTGCCAAGTAAGTACATCTCCGAATTAAAATCTCGCTACTCAAACACTTGTCGGTGTGTTAGAGACTATGGTGAGATGTCCGGGGAGCTGTACTCGTCGAGTGGTGTCCGTCAAAGGTGTCCACTGTCTCCATTCTTATTTTATCATAGATATTCTCATGGAGGTCTCCCTCTCATCACCTGACCACGCAGAGGTTGACCTAATCGCAGGAGTATTTTCGTTAAACCTAGAATATGCAGATGACATAGTCCTGTTAGTTGGAGACGCTGGCAAGATGCAGAGTCTTCTGAACACTTCGAGCGGCAATTTGAGAATGCTTGTGATACATTTCTCACCACCGAAGTGCAAACTGTTGCTCTAGGATTGGTCTTCAATGGTGCCCCACCACGGCTAACAATAGTGTAGTGATTGAGTGTGTTGACCACTTCATTTAATTGGGAAGTAGGATCAGCCCTGGTGCACTGGTCAGTAGTCGATGAAATCTCTGCATTGATACAAAAGGCTCGACTGGCTTTTGCCAACTTATGCCACCTATGGCGCCGCCATGATATCCGTTTGTCTATTAAGGGTTAAGTGTACTCCACAGCAGTCCGCTCTGTTCTACTGTATGCCTGTGATACATGACCAATGAAGGTGGGAGATATGAGGTTTCAATTATTTGACCACTATGGCCTTCGTAGCATACGCCGTATTCCGTGGTGTCACCACACCACGTGAATAATGCAGAAGTCAGGTATAGAGTTTTAAGGAGTAGAGGTAAATCAGTTGACATGGTTGTGAAGCTTCATCGACTGAGATGGCTGAGACACGTACTACATATGTCTAGTCACCGATTGCTCCGTCACACAATGTTGGCCGAAGTAGGTCCAGGCTGGAAAAAAACCGAGGCAACCAGAACAAAACATGGCACCAATGTTGCATGAAGTGTTTGACTTTTGGTTTGAGCCACGTAAGGCGGTACAGGCTAGGCAGTTGGGGTTCACAGGACAAGAGGAACCAGCGGTTAGACACTCTAGGTGATCACATGACTGAGAACCGATGTCAGTGGTGCAGATGTATGCATACATCATCCTCATCTTAACGTTATACCGAATCTCACCATTTTTTCATGCTTACTTCCTCTCTTCTAGTACTTCATATTTCTTTTGACTGAATTTTCTTTTCTTCATCTCCCACTTCACTACCTTTTTACTTGATGTACTAATTAGGGCTGTTGCAGCTCGGAAGGTTACGCAGTAATGCCTGGTCCTATGTTGATAGATGATGAGGATGAGAATCTCAACAGTTCAAGCTTCTTAGAATGAATTCATGATAATGAAAATCCACAGACCTGAAGTATTGAATAAGCTATCTAATACGGGTTAATATCTCTCAAGTAAAATAATCAAATTTAAGAGAATAAGGGGGACTTTAAAGATCACTCTAGCAACGATAGAAATACCGAATTAGGTTTCAGTATTTAGGCTAGAAAGGCGAATTTTTCATAAAACAGAGACGCCTACTTGGTTATTCCAGTTGTTTCTACGGTGGCCTTTTTAAATTCATTCAGAGAATAAACAAATTATAATTTGTTTATCCTTGTAGTTTATCCATGTAACTTCTGTGTAACAATCGGCTGTTGGAATTCAAATGAGTGAAACTTACAATTGAAGCCATTCAATTAAAAATCAAATTTCACATAAGCTAATACTGAACATTTTGAATGAGAATTTCTGAAGTTTTAATGAGAAGTCGGGATAAACTAAATCGGACGTGAGGAAAAATACTCAACAATGTCACTAGATGAAGTAAGACAGAAGTAAGAAAATGCTGACTATTTTAATTCAATCCAGTGGCCACTTAATGGTAACGTGTTCACTATGAAACCTGAAAGTGCTGGGTTCCATTGCTGACGGGGTCATGGATGAGCACCGTTGAGAAATCTCATACTAGGACGAACAAGTTATCCAGTGCTCTCAGGTTTTTAACGGTTCTCTCACAATGATGTCAGTCTATGATGAATACTACCTCGAAGTCAATCAATAAATCCTCATAAGCGTACAAAAAGAAAATACGTTCAACAAATTAGTAGGTCGCTACAATAAAAATCATACACAATGTCTTGAGGCCAATCGAACTACTCAATAGGCGTAACTGAAGTACATTGATTGATTCTGAGCCTGACTAACTGACTGATAAAATCAACGTAGAACCTCACACATAAGTGCATCGACTCAAGTTACCACAATTCACAGTAGTATACAAAGAACAAGTGGATATAAAAGGAATGATATCAAAGTAGAGAAAGTTGTGTGAGTGAATAAACAATTCGAAGATAACGGTTAGTGAGAATATTCAAGCTTTCAAAGACATCAAAGGGTGAATAGATCTGTACCATGGAGACTGACTTCCAGTCATGTCATCAGGAGTCCTCAACCACTGATTCCTTTCATCTGAGGGATCCCAACCAGAGATAGTCAACAACTCTCCACTCCACATGACTCAGACCAACAGTCAGAGCCTTCATCGACTAGTGCTGCGTCTCGTCTGCTCTGGCCAACCTCAACCCTCCAACCCCTTCCAACTTAATCCTGCTTCTAGCATAGCACGTCGCGGTAGGCAGTGACTCGGCATGCGCAGTACATATTCAATAAACCTCAGTCGACTAAGTTCCACAGCCTCACCAATTGGGTTTCTGGCCAGTCTTGCCTAATACCCTTCGCCGCCTAACCTCAACATTGGTCACACGATGATTCCGTCAAACTCGAGCAATGCTGCGAAGACACCTATGATGAAAACCCTGTAATCACTTCATATCTTCTACTTTTAATGGCTATGCCTTTCAGTTACATAACATGACAGGGCGGACTATAGTGCAGTATACTCGTCGTTTGATTGGTTGTTGGAAATCTCCCCATTCGGTACTACAGATGATGCAAGTTGTCAACCTGAACCTATTTGCCAATGGTTGATGGTCGACTGCGTAGACCACTGAATGATACTTGATTCAACCTCTATTCATTTATTTTGAACTCTTTACTGCATGGCATATCTCTCGAAACACTTTCGACATTAACAGTGGATGAAAACACACAAATGATATACTCAACGTACTAAAAGTTAATACTCTTAGTTAATGGTGCGACTATCTAAGATAACCATAGTATGGTAGACTGACAGTTGAGATACGAGATAATAATTGAAAACTAAACGAAAACCTGGGTTACAGAAGAATTCAAACCAGTGACTGGATGGTTTACCAACTAATATACAAGTCTCAGTAATAGAAGAGAAACCAAGACCTAGTTAACACGTTAGTCTGGCATCTAAGTTAACAGATACAGCGTCCAAAGGGTCATGGACATGCGGATGGTTTGAATCCCGTTGCCTACAGGATTTTTGTCTTCCCTCTTATAAATTTAAAAAGCATTTAGGCTTAATATTAAAACTTACTTGTCGATAAAGTCGAATAATTGATCGTGCTGCAGCAACAACATTTTTATTCCTATATGATCGGTACTGAATTAAATCAGATAACAAATCTTGGGTTACTGCATACGGACAACGCGCACAAATCTCACGTACTGAATTCAATCCAACAGCTATTGCTTCTGATGAAGCACGTTCAGTGATGAAATTATCAGCTATCACACGTACCATAGGTTCTATCACCTGAAATAAATAAATCATGAAAATGATAATAGCCTCAGTCAATAGGGATAACATTCTTCAACTCAACAGACACATAAAATATACACTTTGTGGTTTGTCTTCAATCCTTGTGACCAGTGAAGTATTACGTTAAACACGTTGGAAGTTGATATGAATGTTTTAAAATGAAACAAAATAGTCGTCATGATGTTCTAAAAATGACTATCACTGAATCCTAACATCATGCATACATGGAAATATTACCACTCTTGAACCTAAAATGCTTCTAATTTACATATATTGATATGAGGGGTCGCGAATAGGCTCTATTCAGGATTGTTATCGTGTCAAAGAACAACCCTCCAGTGGTTTCTGGTTCTAAGGGGCTGTTCAGCACATATCAGTACATGGATGAAACTCCCCGTAGAAGTTGTTATTGACACTCATTAGAGGCGTGTACATGAATACGAGAAGCATAGCTAGAGGGTGGACTGAACTAGAAATACATAATAAACTCAAATGAACAACCTGGGACCCCTTGATTTCGAGACATCTCAAAATCGTAAGGAGATACTGGTGTCTAGACAGCAGTAGCGTAAAACCACTTTCAGATATGACTACTGCGTGTCTAGTCTTAAGCAGTTGTGTCTATGAAATCAAGGTCAGTCTTCTCTAGAATTCTAAAACACTTATCCAGACACTAAAAATGGGAATCATATAGCTGGGTAGCAATATCGGTAACACTGTTACACTATTATTTCGATGACTTCTGTTGAAAAAACAAGAGGCTTATCACTTTTCACCACGTTATCATCTTATAGCACCCAAAGACTCACTGAAAGTGTTACCATACAAAAAGTGAACAATCAGATAGTATACAAAGTGGTGAACTATTTATTGTTTTTAGTAGCCACTTTCCAGAATAATCTAAAAAGAACTACTCAGTATGCTGAAAGCATTCTTTCTACCATGATTATCGAAATACCCTTCAACTATAAAGCTTCTTAACTGAATGAGAAACAGAACACCACAATTTATTTGGAGGTACAAAATGCCAAAAGACTCTTTAATTAATTTTCTTTATTTAGACACATAGCTAACCAAAAAGGCCATTGCAAGTTACGAACTTATCAATCTGACAACCCTACTAGGTGTTGACTTCAAGATCACAAGATAACGCATAAACCGGTAAATGAGGAATAAGGAGAACTTACATCTGGTGGGACCTGATCGTGGCTAGCTTGTGCTGAGAACAATAACAAGTGGGTAATTTCTAAACAAACAAAAAACAGAAAAAGAAGTATTTTGAAAAGGGTAATGTACTGTAGTATTACCGCGAAGAAAGGACTTCAATGTCGGCTTATTTTTTTTAATAAACGAAACTTTAAATTGCAAGATTTTCAGCAGATGAGATAGCATGAAAGTAATAATCACTGAGAAAGGGAGATGACTCAGTTCAAAAGTGTCCACACAGGAAGCTTATCAGCTGTGATATCGAGAGGATATTCGGATACTCATCAAGGGTGATGTTCTGTACTAGGATATAACTGTGAAACAACAAAGTTGGAGGATACGCGAATGATGTTCATTGTGTTGGCGTTTGTATTTCCCAATAAATGTAAAGGACAGCACAACCTTGACAGAAAGAAAATCATCGAATACCAGTGACATCATCAAAGCCTTTATATTTTACTCAAAGACTAATTACTTCAAATCTAAGGTAAAAATATACAGACAGATCTATGGGTTTACCTGTTTCACCTATGGTAACGAACCCATTTGAGCAAAGAATCTTCGCACACATAACAAAGCCTAGCATTTGGCTAAGATATATCGATGAAATTTTCTCAGTTCTAAAATGTGACATGCACCAGGTATTATTGATTATCTGAACACTAGATTCCGCACCCACCCCCGGTATTAAGTTTAGCTCAGGAAAAGAAACGGAGAACAGTGAACTAACCTTCCGTGAATGTTTTGCTAAGTAGAAGGAAAATTAGCAATTAGGCATGACCATTTTCAGAAAAGCAACACATTGGAACACACATCTCGATCTCAATTCATCACATCCAATCAGTGTAAAAGTCTCTCTATTGCCTGTAGTCTTTTAAGGAGGGTGGACACTCAGATGATAATGAAAAAGTTAAGTAAGTGAACAAGATCTCTGCAGTGGGTAATTACCGGGCAAAATTTATTCTCAAAATAGAAAATAACATTGAACTGGATTGTAAAACAAAGACAGACAATAGACCACAACAGGAGTCATCCTATACAGGGGTCACACACGTTGGATGGGATTAGAAGAGTGCCCAACAAATGCAATATCCGTATGTCCAACAGAACACTAAACATACTGCACAAAATTTCTCTGGATTTACAATCTAAATGTGTTTATAAGATAAAATGCTTAAACTAAGATGAAACATACATAGGACAAACTTCATGTGAAATTACAGGTAGAAAATGTTAACACCAAATGGCTTTAACCAAACCTCCTATAAATCCAATGGGGCTGAAAAAACATGAAAACACTGCGGTCATAATTGTATACGCTATAATTTCAGGTACCGTTGTCGACTGTGACAATATCCAAACTATTCCGAAAGGCTACAGAAATCATTAGGAACATCTCATAGTAGAATCTCTTCATATAAAGTGGAATCAAAACTGTCAACATAGGAATGTTGTCACGGCTAGTCTAAATACTATATAAAAAATTTTAAAAAGTTCAACTAGTTAAGTAACAAAACTGTCATAGATATAAGCAGCCTAGTGTGAGTATTAGATTAACATTTACATATTTTGAAAACTAGCATAAGTTTCCATAAAAATAATTGCTAACCTCTTTGTTGTGGACGTAAAAATCGTTGTATAAATGGATAAAAATTGAGTAGAATCAACTTATTCAATCCAATAAGGCGACTTATAAGATCAAGAATCAAAAGACGAATTTCAAAACGATCTGAACAACGTTCCAACTTTCGAAATAGCTTTTCTGCAAAAGTTTGAGGATCATGCAACATATTTATAGCATGAAAATTGGTTAATTCAGCACGTTTTTTAATTTTTCTCTCTTTTTCCTTGTTTACATTCTTGATTGATCGTTCAAGACGCTTTTTTCGTCCTTTAGTTTTAACTCCTACACGATGTCCCATTCGTAGCTGTTTAATTTTGGTTTCATCATCCTGTAAAATAAAAGTGAACTCTAATGATTAATAAACAATTTCAAAATGATGAATAGCTGTCCTATTCAAATTTTAAGCGGTAATAGTGTGGATGCCAAATTGGCAGAACCATTCTGCACTTTGCAGAAAGACATAAAAAATTATCGACAAAGAAACTCAAATACAAGTGCATCAGTTCAAGTTACAACACTTCACAATAGCGTACAAATAATAGGTGGATAGAAAAAGATTGATATCAAAGTAGACAAAAGTAAATTGGAAGAAAAGGAGTTTGAAGATAAAAGTTAATGAAAGTGTTCAAGCTTCAGATAACACTAAAGGATGAATACATCAGTGCTATTGTCACCAATTTTCTGCACTCAGCACAAAGAACAAGATCCGGATTTTCAACACCAATCCAGTCAAGTTAGAGCTTCTATATGGTTCAGAAACGTGGCGCGTTACGAAAAGCATTTCCAATAAACTACAGACATTCATCAACAGCTACCGTCTACACTCACTCGATACTGAAGATCAGATGGCTAGAAAGAATAAGTAACAAGAAACTCTGGCTGGCAACGAACCAACCAAGAACCTATCACTCAACAAATATGCAGAAGAAAGTGGAGGTGGATTGGGCATACACTAAGGACATCAAACGCTAGGCCGTCGAGTAGAACCCGCGTGGGAAACGACGAGTTTGGAGTCTGAAGGTAATATGGAGGAGATCATGTGAGGAAGAAAATGAAAGCTTGTGGGCAGTCGTGGAGCCAGGTTGAAAAGACTGCAGAGAAGAGAGTAAATTAGAGACGTGTTAGTGAAGCCCTATGTTCCACTAGGAACCGAAGGGACAAATAATAATAATAATTGTGACCAATTTTAATCGATGTCACTAGTGATCTGCAGGCGCTGATTACTATAATCTCGACGACCCTAAACCAAGCAGTCTAAGCCTTCTTATACAACTTAGATCAACAGTCAGGGAATTCGATGACCGGCGCACCCTCTCAATCTCGACACCGTGAACCCCTTTCCAGTCTAATCCAACTTCACCTAGCATGACACGTAGAGGTAGGTGCTGGCCCCGGATGCGCACCACATGACCAAGGCCCCTCAGTTGCTAAAGGTTCATAGCGTTTTAACGGCCATGTCTAAAAGTCGTATGACAGGACAGAACGGACTGTAGCGCAGCATAATCTTCATCCAATAGGTGGTCTGATACCTCACAAGGTCGGTGCCATACATGATGCAGGTTCAAGTAGTTTCAGACTAGGTCTGAGGCATCAAATTACATCTAACAAGCGTGAAACTTGTGCCAAACATACTCAGTTTTCTGCTCAAATGGTTTAGAAGACTCTGCATTTTGCCAGCGTCTTCACCTAACAGGATGATGTCGTCTGCCCCGAGGGGGCTGATAAGTCCCTGTGAATAGAGATATGCTTTAGGTTGTGTTCGTTAGTACGTCGACAACGAAGTTGAACAGGAACAGTGACGGCAGGCATTTCTGTCGGAGACCACTGGCTATCGTCAGTTTAGTTGACAACTCTCTATAAGCCCTAATACAGTTGTGTCAGTTTGAGTAAAAAGCTTTGACTAGCGTTATAAACTTTCTCGGTACGCCATTCAAAGTAAGACACCGCCACAACACTTAAAGGTGCATAAAGTCAAATGACACCTTCAGATCTAGAAATATGGAGACTGGTTGTATTCCATAACCTGGCGAAGGGTGAAGATTCTATCAATTTACCCTCGTTCAGGTCTGGAACCTGAAAGGAATGATCAGTGACGTCGACCAGTCTGATGGAACTACTTCTGATTCTCATGTGCTGCCTAGTACCTTTGTTATTCTAGTAGTTTATTTCTTACCTCCTTCCTAATAGAATTCTGGTGGCAGACTGTCAGGCCCCTCTACTTTGCGTCGTTTCAGGACTGAAACCACCTACTCAACACAGTTAGGGGACCAACCATCCGAACCTTCATTGATTGAGATGGTTGGGACACGTACTACATATGCCTAATCACCGATTTCCCCGTCACACAATGATGGCCGAAGTAGGTCCAGGCTGGAAAAAGGCCCGAGGTGGCCAGACTAAAACATGGCACCAATACATGAAGTCTCTGACTGTTGGTTTGAGCCATGTAGGACGATGCACACTAAGTGGTTGGGGTCCACGGGACAAGAGGAACCAGTGGTTGGACACTCTAGGTGAAGGCATGGCTCAGAACCGATGTCAGTGGTGCAGATGTATGCACACATTATCCTCATCTTAACGACGCTATACCGAATCTCACCATTTTGTCTTTCCTCTCATACTTAATATTTCTTTTTAATGCCTTCTCTTATCTTTATCCTTCACCTCACTACCTTTCTACTTGATGTACTGATATGAGCTGTGGCAACTCGGACCGTTACGTAGTAATGCCTGGTCCTATGTTGATATTGATTGATTGAGGGGACCAACATCTACAGACAAATCAGGTTCACGCTGGCTGGATGCTGATCAAATGATAACTTGTTTTGAACCAGTCGAACCCCACTTAAAGTGTCTCGCACAACGTTATAGCTGTTTCTTTTGAGAGGCTATCAGCATACCACTCTTTGGTGATGCTATATCATTAACCATCGTCTTTTTCTTTCCAGTACTCTTAATAACTCTAAATAATTGACGAGTATTACCTAATGCTAATGTTTTCATCCTTTTAGTTTTAAACACCCGCCACTGCCCACAATCATTGCGAAGAATCTAAGTCAATTTATGTTTAAGTTACTTTCTCTCCTTAAATGTGGTCACAGTCAACATCTGGAATGAGTCTTGTCGTATCCGTCAGTTCGGATGACGTTGAGGAAATGGATTGACGTTTTCTAGCCTTAGGCCGTAGGTTACCAATCGTCTTTACTGCTTTTTCTACAGCTTACTCAATATCAGGCCAAGTCTCCTCAGGGTAAGAACTGCTACAACGTCCAGATAAACGTCTAGCTATCTCCCTAAATATGGGCGACGTTCTCATTTTCCAGTTGAGTACACAGACTTGAGTACTGTCTGTTTCCGCGAATGCACATTCGCATACGTCATATTAGTGATATATGGGTCAAATATCTTATTTATTATTCCCCTTTGAGAATGATAGCCTGAGACATAATCAAAAAGCTCATAAACTGTTTTCCGATTGCCTACTTTTGTAAATTCATTTCCCCTAGTTGTGGATCAGTGGAATGGTCGACTGAAGCATAGCATTAGTATCTTTTGCTGTGACTTTGAAAAACAGACTAGGCAATCATATGACTAGCAACTGAAAGAAATGATATCACTGAACTAGTATTCTTATTCTTGAAGACTGAATACTATAGATATTGTCTCAGAAAAATATCTACATATTATTGTGATATTGACATCGGAAACTAAATTCTGGGAAAACTCACAATATCTGACGCGGAATCACTGCTGCTATCCATTTCACCCGTTGCCTTCAACTTTCCCAAGAAAAATTGTACAGCAGGAACATAAACCTAGAGATGTGGGTGTAAACAACTTGTCAATACCTTCTTGTTACTGATTAGACAGGAATCGGCGATGGTGTTGGCAGTTCTCGCATCGTTCCAGACATTTTTTCGAAATAAAGATAGTAGGATTAGCACTGCTTCTCGTGCCACAGCTGAGCTACTATCTTTTATCATCTTCGAAAGGAATGTTAGTATGACCTGCATGGGATGTCAAAGAGAGGAAAACTCTGCACTTACCGCATTTGATTTGGTTTGTTTTTGGGTTTTGTTCATCCTTTTGATATCACTAACTAAGAAATGGCGTAAAGTTTTTCGAACTTCTTTATCACGGCATCGATGCAATTTAAAAGCGACATCGACTGCTTGGATAGCTGATATCAGATTTTTGGTCCGCAGACGCATAAATGCTCTCAAAAAAGCCTATGGAATGATGTAGAATAAGTGTGTAAAATTACCATGCGCATGTCGGGATGCATACCAAATGCACGGGAGAGAAGTGTCTGGATAACACTTGAAGCAAACTCCCCAACATGGTCTGGATAAAATTTCACAACCTCCAATAGGTTAAGTAAGGAGTGAAAACAATACCTGGGATAAAAACAACAGTAAGTCCTCTAGACGGCTTATAAATTGTGAAGGAGCAGATGAAAATGACTGTTTCAGTGTGGTATAGTTCTCCAGTTGCGCTTCAAACTACACAGATAAAAGAAAGTTTACACTTACGTCTGACCGATATGACAACGGGTCACGAGTCAGCTGATAACTCAGTTCCGACAACGGCATATGCTCCATCACGCTTTATAGTGGCGCAAACTACAAAAGCTCCGCTGCTTTTTCAATGTGCAATACCTGTATGGTTAGCCAGTGAATGGTTTTCAGTCTTCAGTAATACGGGTAGTAGACCAACGGGTTTTGTCACTTCCTTCCAGTAGTTTCTTCTGCGTAGACCTAGTTTTTCCTTGGATGCCTTCACTGAAGGGGATGATACACATGATTCAGGTGAGGAGTTCCAGTGGTTAGCCAGTCTGTGTAAGAGGAGTAAACGCATGCTAGGTTGATTCGACAGCCACTTTAAGGGAAAGTGACGTATTCTACAGGATCTGTCTAGTTAGATTCTATGGTCAGATACCTAAACCAGCGAAAGACATCTGAAAGTCGGCCTATTTAACACCTGGATTTTCTGAACTGCAGAGCATTCAAAACTTCTAAACTCGTGTTGTAGAATTTGTGAGCAATTGTTCCTTGAGTTCTACGTCTGCCTTATCAGAAAACGTTCTTGGTTCGAAACGGCCACAGCTGTCTTCCTGGCTCCAAAAAACCTGGAAAGACGGGGATAATTGATTGTTAGTTTATCTCTCCCCATGATCTGAGGATGACAGAAAGCTTCTCGGCTACGGCCCACTAGTAATGCAAGACTGTAAATGCACGAATAACCCTCTTTCGACATTATCAGGTGACGGGTGGTTACAACCTCTATCGGAAGGGGGTTCAACAGTTCATCTACCCTAATTCCAAACAGGTTAGCACTGTTCTTTTACGTGCGATCTCATGCTGTACTCCTGACTGATGGTTTTTAAGGTGGCGTTTCTGGTTGAAGCCTAAGGGGAATCTATCGAGGGTGAAAAGGATTATGGCCAGTGTGATGGATCATGATCATATCCTCCATGGTCCTCAGGCCAACTAAGCCATACAGCTAAGGTTTGTACCGTAACCCAATTACTTTCTTCATAGATCTCCGAACCCGTTCTAAGATCGAAATGTCCTCCTTCGTGTATGGGGACACCACGGAAGAGTTTTTTTCAAATATGGGGACGAATATAACGTTCGTACACCGTGATAAAAGGAGTCAAAGTTCAACTTCCTAAAGCCCACGAAAGGAACCTGCAGATTCTACAGGCCTTGTCTGTTGCAGGGCCAGAGCTCCAAGTGCGCCGCTCAAAGTAACTGCCGGATCCTTTTCCATGTTTGAGTGACGGGTATTTATTTCACCCTGTGGATAAGAACCGGAACCGTTCTTGTTTTTGTCAACAAACACTACCCTACGCTACTCCACGTCGAGAGACAGGGACCAGGTTTCCAGCGGCCCAATTAAGGATTTTGAACAGGCCCCCCTGGCCCTTACAGTGTAGCAGCAGCATTCCAACTCCTCATGAGTTACGTCCCCAGTAGTTTAGACTTCGTCCAGGTTTAAGACGACAACCGTCTCACTGTGAGTTTTGGTAAGGATAAGGACCGACAGCGCTTGGATGTCACATTCGACAGACTGAAGAAGCATGGTGAATATCCGAAAATGTCAAGTAGGAGTCAAATCTCTCGGCTCCTTTAGGCATGCTGTTGACGGAAAGGGGATGCGCCCAACTGTATATAAAGCCTTGGCTACTCAGCAGTGCCCCCCAGTCGGCTACTGTAGAGCAACCTCTAGCAACCTGGTAAGTTAGTACAAAAGGTTTGTTCCCAGCTGCCCTTCATGCGAATGCCCACAGGCCACCTCTAAGGAAATGCGAAGTGTGTGGCTCTAGATGGCGTGGCTGAACTCGCCTTCTCCGAAGTCAAGTATACAAACGCAACGTACTCATGCTTGTGCAACACGACCCCAACGACTCTTCGGCTATTGTTATTGATCCATCAGGCTCAATAATGGGAGCGGTTTTGCAACGGCTAGTCGAGACCCAGCAACAGACACTATCCTTCTACTCAGGGCGGCCACAGGAAGTGGAACGAAGACATTTGGTGGGAAAAACCCAGCCGTATACTGTCCCGTGCACCGTTCTCGGTGCCCTGTTCAGGGGCGTCAACTTATCAGCTTCATGGATCAACTAAGGTTGCTACACACAGCCAAATATGAGCAGGCAAATGGCGTGGTAGAAAGGTCTCAGAGACGGCTAAGGGCCTAAAATACGTCTCAGTGGACCGAGGCACTGCTTCTCGTCAAAGAGAGTGTCCCAGACGCGTTGAAAACTAGTGCTGGATGAACTTTCACAGACCTCGTTTACAGAACTACCGCCCAACTACCAGACGAGTTCTTTTTGCAGTCAACTTTCGCAAACGTTATTGGCAGAACATCCTGCATGGTCAAGCTCAAAACTCAGTAAGTTTGGTTGCGTCCGCACCTATTTGGCCTAAGACAACCGAGGTCCTCATCCACCTCGTTTTTTGCACAAATCAACGCAAGCTTTCATTCGCCATGCTGCCGTTCATCGACCAATTGAACTACCTAACGATGAACCATTCGAGGATTTCAGGTGACGCACAAACGTTTGTATAATCCATCTAAACGAATGCGAAGATAATGTCAGTATTTGCCGTTTGAAGCCAGCTTACTCCAGACGTAACCCCGTTGAAAGCGATGTTCGGCCTCGCTCACGACTACTGGCATAAGATATAACCATCTTAGTTCTTGACCATGTGTCTGGCAATAAAGTGAGGCAAGAATCACTAACAACAAAAAACTCGATCAATCACAACCACCAGGTTCCTAAAACATTTGAAAACTTACTTAGCCCTGTGGCATGTTCAAGCACATGGCTTTTACTGATAAATGTTTTCATGCCTGTAGTTTGCACATTGTTTCCTCCTTAGCTTTTGTGAAACTTTTTCATGCTATTCAAGGCTCCTGTTTCTTCTATAAGTGTAACGAGCGCTGTGTGGAACGTCAAAGCACCTCAGAGATCGCGATTAATCTACTTTTGATTGATCGCTCTATCTTTTGAGCGACTGCCGAGAGGCAGCTCGGATAAGTGGGGGCCGCCTTTTGCAGCCAGCCCATCAAAAACACGTTGAAGTCATTCGACTTTTTATCGTCTCAAGGTTCTAACGGACACTCTGTGGAGAAAAGTGAGCAACAAAGGTGAATAGTCCACTGAAATAACCAACCGAGACCTCAGCAAGATTCAAAATTGATGTCAGCCTCCATAGTTTTATTCAAGTGCTTCAGCCAAGGACGCACAGTTCAGCATCCAGGAGTTTCGGCCCTTTGTCATGTTACGTTGTTTTGCCCTTGTACCATGTTCTAGCCGGCCAGCAGAAAGACGCTGGTGTTACTGCATAGAACATTTGACATATTATTCCTAACTGGCTCCTCTTTTGTGTTCTCTCCTGGCCTTACGCTCATGGACACTCTGGAATGACGAAGAATTGACGGCTGGCGCATGCACCTATCGAGTTCGTGTAAAAACAATACGGTAAACACTTCGGGTTCTTGGGGTTATATTCCGCAAGAACATTTCGGCGCACTTGAGGACATGCATCTACATTCCAGGAATCTCCTGGTATTTTCCACAACTCCCAATAAGAGACGCCCCAGAGAACCAGGGCATCCGTTGACCTTCGGGTTATCATCAAACTCTTGATATGACAAGTATATAACAGTAAATGGGAATGGTAAGTCATTTATAAATGCAACGGACCGAGGGTGACCGAAGATAGGAACCGGAGACGCCCGAGAGAGCATCGAGCTAGGACATCAGACATTTCGTATCTACCTCAGGAGCTTGCATGAACCAGTTGACTTTATCGCCATTCCTTCAAGGTCTTGTGAAGCGGTTTCAGGTGTGTAGAGGAGTCCAACGCTGTAGATCTCTATAACTGGTTTCTGTGGCTCTGGTAAACTCGCCAGGTGGCTAGGCGTTGACAACTAACTGACGTTACTGGGGTGATATGGCACTGGAAAAATGAGTTAAACATGCCGACCGTTTGTAAAACGAATATGGAATATTGCGCTACTTTGGTGCCACCCATGATGAAACAAACATGTCCTAAAAAAGCTGAGCTGAAGCACTAGGAAGTGATAGTTTCTTGTTAGTTTCATAACCAGCAGAATTATTGAATGTTGTGATAGGGCGTAATGACATCCCTTCTGTACCACTCAGGACCCCCAAAATTTCACAGATTTTTCAACGAATATCAATGCGGTGATGCCCGCAAACGGGCTTCTCTCGTGTTAAACTCATAATGTCAGAACGAAATATTTTTTTATTCATTGAAGCCAGTTACTATGCTCTTGAAATATGGTAGTTATGGTATTTTCACTTGTCCCTTGATCAAGCTGATCTTGAAAAGGAAATAAGAGGGGAAAAACGAAACAGAGGAAGGTGATTTAAGTCAAAAGGTAAAGAAGTGCAAACATGTAAGAGGGAATTTAGAGATGACCAGAAAAGCGAAAAGTGACGCAGAGAGTGTGAACGAAGAAAGCCGGACAGCATAAAGTAAGAAGGAGGAAAACAGCGTGAAAATTCGAAGCAGGGATAGTGCGGATCAAAGCTGTAGTAGGGTAAATGAAGAGATGGTAAACTGCAAATGTAAAATGTCTAACAGAAGAGCACATATTGAATCCTGTCTATAACAGTAGTGACAATCAGAGAGAATCGATGTGAAGGCAGCAGAAAGTGTTGTGTTGTTACTTTCCTTAAATATATACCCCGGCTAGGTAAGCGCTATCCATTTTTAATTCAGTAGCTGTCCAAACCGTCACTAAACCTACTGATATACGAAACAGTGGCTAACTCAGTAAAAAGTGCATCCGGGTGGCTTCAGGCCCGGAAAGGAAGGAACCGTTATCGCACGTAGGCCTTTGCCCTTTGATAGATGATTCTGATTAAGTCTTGATAACGATCTTTACGGTGACATAGAGGTATGTTCTCGGTTCAAGTAACTCGCATTACTTATTATCCTGTAAGCTGCTAATAAGCTACTGAATAGTCTACCGTTACTGTAGGCACGAAGGCCTTGCTTTTTGTTCTTATGGTTTTTGCCGCTTTTCTGGCTGGTGTTTTGCCTTCCATAAAAAGTTTGCATCTTTTTCCAGGGATGGTATGTAACCACGTCGTA